TCTCAAGTAGCGAAGACTACAGGCACACTCTACTATGCTCAGCTATTTTTTTTTTTTTTTTTCCTTCCTGCAAGATGGAATCTCACTGTCACCCAGGCTGGAGTGCAGTGGCACGAACTCGGCTCTCTGCAACCTCCACCTCCTAGGTTTAAGCGATTCTCTTGCCTCTGCCTCCAGAGTAGCTGGGATTACAGGTGCATGCCATCATGCCTAGTTTTTTTTTTTTTTTTTTTTTAATTTAAGTAGAGATGGGGTTTCACCATGTCGGTCAGGCTGGTCTTGAACTCCTGACATCGTGATCTGCCTGCCTGGGCCTCCCAAAGTGTTAGGATTACATGCATAAGCCATCGTGCCTGGCCAGCTTTATTTTTCCTTATTTTTTGGCTAGACGGGGTCTCCCCCTGTTGCCCAGGCTGGTCTCAAACTCCTGTCCTCAAGCAATCCTCTTGCTTTGGCCGTCTAAAGTGTTGGGGTTAAAGGCATGAGCCACCATACCTGGCCTTCACTTTGAATTAAAGCCACAGACAGGAAGAAGCATCCTATCAACAGTTGCCAGTGATGGCGGAAGTAGCTACATCCAGCTTGCAAAGATGCCGGCTTCTCTGTCCCACTTCCGTGGTACCAATTGTAGGTTCAGTGCCAGCAGAGGCCATGGGGTCTTCACCTGGCCAGCTTTGCCCAATGGCCTCTTTGACATTGATTTTCTGACCCTTTCCGAGCTCCTGGGAACTAGCCAGTACCTTTGACAAACTCCTTTTCTGCTTAGAGTTTACCAGAGTTAGTTTCTGCTGCTTAAAACTAAGAATCTTGATTATCACAAAAATAGGACAAGGACTGGACAGAGCAAGAAGCCCCAAAGCAAACGGGAGAGTGGCCAGAGGACAGTGAAAATCCATCTGGTATTAAGGGACAAGACACCAACAGCTCCATGGCATGCCCTGGCAAGACAGCTAATCCCATGGACCCCCGAACAAAGCATCCATCAAAGGCAAAGCTTTGGGAGACCTAGTGTCTCCTGCTATAGAGGATAAAGATTGCATCCAAGTCAAGATCTGCTGGGCAGGGCGCTCACGTTAACACCACTACACAGCTTAAAAGAAAGACAAGCTCAGAATCCAAATTCTTGGCTCGAGGCATGGTTGGAAACCCTGTCTCTACTAAAAATACAAATATCAGCTGGGTGTGGTGGCAGGTGCCTGTAATCCCAGGGAATTGGGAGGCTGAGGAAAGAGAATTGCTTGTATCTGGGAGGCGGAGGTTGCATTGAGTCGAGATCACGCCACTGCACTCCAGCCTGGAAGAGAGAATGAGACTTTGTCTTAAAATCAAACAAAACAAAACTCACATGTGCTCGCATTTTGCAGCTGACAGCAAAAAAGGCTAAGAGCAAAAATAGAAAAAAAAAAAAAAAAACCTGAAAGCTTGATCCAATGGCTACAGAATGACCAAGGGGATCCACACTTTGAAAGGTTTTTAGGAGCTGGGCGTGGTGGCTCACACCTGTAATCCCAGTACTCTGGGAGGCCGAGACGGGCAGGTCATGAGGTCAAGAGATCGAGACCATCCTGGCCAGTACAGTGAAACCCCATCTGTACTAAAAATACGAAAATTAGCTGGGCATGGTGGTGCACGCCTGTAGTCCCAGCTACTTGGGACGCTGAGACAGGAGAATTGCTTGAACACGGGAGGTGGAGGTTGCAGTGAGCCAAGACTGCACCACTGCACTCCAGCCTGGCACCTGGCAACAAAGCAAGGCTGTCTCAAAAAAGAAAAAAAAAAAGGTCTTTAGGGAAGAGTGAAGTGTGGAGAGCAGAGGCTATTCAAATTAGGCTGCACGGAAAAATAGGGAAAACTTGGGTACCTGGCACCCCCCCTAGAGCCACCCTTGCCAGCCAAAGCATCCTCTTTGTTACTCTAAAGATCCTGGAAGCAGGAACTCCCTTGCGGGCAGTTAGGTGTTCTATGTGGCTGAGGTGTGGCCCGCAGTGACGGGTGGGTGTATTAGTCTGTTTCCACACTGCTATAAAGAAACACCCAAGGTTGGGCATGGTGGCTCACATGTGTAACCCTGGCATGTTGGGAGGCCAAGGCGGGCAGATCACTTGAGGTCAGGAGTTCAAGAGCAGCCTGACCAACATAGTGAAACCCTGTCTCTATTAAAAATAAAAAATTAGTCAGGCATGGTGGTGCACACCTGTAAACCCAGCTATTTGAGAGAATCGCTTGAACCCAGGAGGCAGAGGATTCAATGAGCCGAGATTGGGCATTACACTCCAGCCTGGACAACAGCAGCAAAAAAACAAACCCGAGACTGGATAATTTATAATGTAAAGAGGTTTAACTGACTCACAGTTCCACATGGCTCGGAAGGCTTCAGGAAACTTACAATCATGTCCGAAGGGGAAACCGACAACTTCCTCCCAGGGTGGTGGGAAGGGCTGAGCGCGAGAAAGAGGACGTGCCACACTTTAAAACCTTCAGATCTCGTGAGAACTCACTCACTGTCACGAGAACAGCACGGGGGAAACAGCCCCGGTGATGAAGTACCTCCACCTGGTCCCTCCCTTGACACCTGGGGATAATTCAAGATGAGTTTTCGGTGGGGACACAAAGCCTAGCTGCATCAGTGGGAGGGAGGGCTGTTACTTCCAGGGTGAACTGTTGCCTCTTCCTCCAACCTGCGTCTCCTGCTTCCCAAGCTGCCCACCTGGATGTCCTGGGTGACCTGAGAAGCTGTATGCTGAAGATGTCAGAACCTCCGCCGGCCTGGGTTCCCCCTTCCCCATTGCATCTGCGGGAGGAAGAGCCCCTCGTGAGCAAGGAGCTAGCCAGCGGCAAGCACTTCCCTGTGTAACACACCCAGCAATGACCCTGCCCCAAAGGAGTCTCATAAGCCCTATACCCCTTATTTTCTCCAGAATTAAACAACAAGTCAGATCCCTGCAGGCCCCAGGGGCCAAATCTAGGAGGGCGGTGAATCATCAAAAAACTCCACTGGGAAGACACTGAATTGCCAAAAGAAACAGAAGATTTTGCTAATTGATATTAGCTTACTCACAGTATATGGTTGGCTAAACTTTTTAAAAATTGATGCTGGCAAAAATGTGGGAAGCTGATCTAAGAATGAATTCTGAGGGTACAGGACGGTCGAGGGACGAGGGTGGTGTTAGACAGGGATGAATGTACTGATATTGAGGATTCTACAGGGACAGCTTCAGACGCTAGGATGGTTCCAATTGTTTGCTCTGATGGCTGCTTGAAACCTGGACTCAATTGTGGCCAAATAATATTAGCTATTAGGTAGTAGCTAATAATGACAATGTCACACCTGTAATCCCAGTGCTTTGGGAGGCTGAGGTGGGCGAATCACAAGGTCAGGAGTTTGAGACCAGCCTGGCCAACATGGCGAAACCCCATCTCTACTAAAAATACAGAAAATTCGCCGGGTGTGGTGGTGGGTGCCTATAATCCCAGCTACGCAGGAAGCTGAGGCAGAAGAATCGCTGGAACCTGGGAAGCAAAGGGTGCAGTGAGCTGAGATCGAGACACTGCACTCCAGCTGGGGGACTCTGTGTCCAGTAAAAATAAAAATAAAAATGTAATTCTCACGGCCGGGCACGGTGGCTCAAGCCTGTAATCCCAGCACTTTGGGAGGCCGAGGCGGGTGGATCACGAGGTCAAGAGATCGAGACCATCCTGGTCAACATGGTGAAACCCCATCTCTACTAAAAATACAAAAAATTAGCTGGGCATGGTGGTGCGTGCCTGTAATCCCAGCTACTCAGGAGGCTGAGGCAGGAGAATTGCCTGAACCCAGGAGGCGGAGGTTGCGGTGAGCCGAGATCGCGCCATTGCACTCCAGCCTGGGTAACATGAGTGAAACTCCATCTCAAAAAAAAAAAAAAATAAAAAAAAAAAAAAAAAGAAAAAGAAAGAAAGGAAAAGAAAAAAAGCACTTCACTTATGTTAATAAAAATGAGGTAAAATTTACAGGGTATCATGTTGGTGAAAGAATCAAAAGAGAATAGCTCCAATGAGTGAACATTCTTAGTATTTACTTATTGCTGCCAGGCTGTTCCAGTTTAATATATTAACTCACTTTATTTTCCTTTTTTTTTTTGAGATGGAGTCTCGCTCTGTCGCCAGGCTGGAGTGCAGTGGCTCGATCCCAGCTCACTGCAACCTCCGACTCCCAGGTTCAAGTGATTCTCAGCCTCCTGAGTAGCTGGGAATACAGGCGTGCACCATGACACCCAGCTAATTTTTGTATTTTTAGTAGAGACGGGTTTCTCCATGTTGACCAGGATGATCTCAATCTCTTGACCTCGTGATCCATCCTCCTCTGACTCCTAAAGTGCTGGGATTACAGGCATGAGTCACGGCACCTGGACTATCTTCCTCATTTGACGAAGGAAGAAAATGTGGTAGGGAGATGTTCTATGGTGACCAATTGTCCTGGTTTGCCTGGGACTCAGAAATTTCTTAGAATGTAGTACTTTTTCTTTTCTTTTTTTTTTTGAGGTGAGTCTTGCTCTGTCATCCAGGCTAGAGTGCAGTGATGCGATCTCAGCTCACTGCAACCTCGGCCTCCTGGGTTTGAGCAATTCTCCTGCCTCAGCCTCCTGAGCAGCTGGGACTACAGGCACATACCATTGTGCCCAGTTAATTTTCTGTATTTTCAGTATAGACGGGGTTTCACCATGTTGGCCAGGCTGGTCTAGCACTCCTGACCTCAGGTGATTCCCCCACCTTGGCCTCCCAAAGTGCTGGGCTGACAGGTATGAGCTACCGCAATAATGTTATAATGTTATACTTTTAATGCTGAAAGCAGGACAATGCCAGGCAAACTTGGACAACCGGTCAACCTAGCTGTTAAGTTACTCACTCGCCCTAAGTTGCAGTTATTTTTTTTTTAATTTTTTTTTTTTTTTGAGACGAAGTTTCGCTCTTGTTACCCAGGCTGGAGTGCAATGGCGCGATCTCGGCTCACCGCAACCTCCGCCTAGACGGTTGTGCAGGGAGAGGAGCAGGAAACTTTCCTTCCTATTCAGGGCTGGGGTGGGAAGGGAAGGGAAGGTCAGGCTGCCCGAGGATGGCGGGGACCTGGACCCAATGCTTTGCAAAAAAAGCAGCGTCCCCACCCTTGGGAAACAAGATGGGAGAGGAGTGTGGTGGGTGTGGGACACGGGGGCATAGCGATGGAGGGAGGCTGAGAGGGAGACCAAGTAACAGCAGGCGTGGGCCGGGATGGCAGGAGGGATGGGGGTGGGAGCTGGGTGTAGGGAGGCAGCCCTGGCTCCCAGCAGGCCCCTGTCTGGGCTCCTCTGGGCCACTGGATTTCTCCAGGCTCCCGCCAAAGCCTCCCTCGGCCATTCTCCCTTGACCCCAGCCCTGGTCCCCTTCCTCCTCCTTCCTCCCCAGTCCAGCATCCACCCCTTACCACCCAGGACTGTCCCAGGACTCCCTCATCAAACCACCAGCACAGCCTGGGCTCAGGCCTGGGACCAGGTTTCCAGAAGTCTCCCAGCACCCGCTCCACAGAGCTCTTGCTGGTGCCTCCACCTCATCCTCACTAGGTGATCCTTACCTCCGGGCAGCAGAGCCTGCTCCTGCAGCTGGGGCGGCCACATCTCGGCCCAGGTGGTGCCAAGGAGGGCCAGGAGCACAGGCAGGAGGCTCCCCCCGCCAGGGGAGGGCTCCGGATGCAGCATGGGTCTGTTGGGCCTGTCAGGCACGTTGAGCACAGCCTGGCTCAGCCTCCTGGCTTCTTTCTCAGGCTGGATGAAGCTATTCACAATCTCCGGGAGTCAGGCTGGGCTGGTGGACAAAAGAGGGGGGCTGGTGAGTGAGTAATCAGTGTGTCCAAACAGCCTCCCGTTGATACTGGCATGAAAACCGACAGCTCCGGGGGATGCCTGCCTGTCCCGGCCTTGCCTGGCCAGCCCACCCCCGACAGCAGGAAGAGCAGTACGCGCTGACCCTGAGGCCCCTGCTAATCATGGCAGGATTATTATCGCCCTTGGGGAGCCCCCCGAGACCCCACTGATTGGCCCGCAGACATTCCAGTGCTGCAGATTAGTGACCGATGGCCGTGTCCTGGCTGGGACGGTGCCCTCCGAGCCGGCTGGTGGCTTCCACTCCCCAGCCCCAGGCCCTGGGAGGAGGCTAGGATGTCGGCTCTGGTCCTTCTGGTGAGCACGAACCGGACAAAACCCCAGGGGAGTTCTTTCCTTTCTTGGGAAGCTCGGCCCAACCCCCCAGCCATGAATTAAACATAGGCAAGAAGTAACTGCACACCAGAGAGGTGCAAGCTGTGGGCTTGGGTGGGGGGTGAGGCGCGGGCTGGGGCTGCACCTGTGGGAGGGAAAGGGTGCCTTCAGAACATCTGTCCGGGCAGTGTCAGGGACAGAGCGCAGCCCCAGTGCCCACCACCGCCACTCACGTGACGGGCCAGGAGGGAGTGAGGCAGGAGGAGGCAGGGCAGGCGAGGATGAGAGCATGTGATGCCCTTGGCTAACTCTTGTCCTGCTGGGATCTAGTCTACCTCTAGACAAACAGGGGGCGGAGCAGGAGGGTAGCCTGTTGCCATGATGTTCTGTGGCCCGGCTGTGGCTGGCATGACCCCACCAGAGTGCGCTGGAGTGGATCTGCACCTTGGGCCACGTTTCTCAGAAAATACACGGCTGTCCTGCAGGCCATGGCCTGATGCCCATGTTCCTCTTGGGACAGATCAAAGGTTATTCAACCATGCCAAAGGCCAGCCTTGCAAACCAACTATATCCTCCTTCTGGGGTTTGTGAGACCCCCGACCCTCGAGCCCACACACTCTCAGAGCGGGGTTCCAACTCCGTGGAAGCTCTGCTGAGATGCAGGTGGGCTTGGCTTTTCTAGGGAAACATCAGTGGAATGTGGATATCGTCATGGGTGCCAGGGATGGGCATGAGCCCAGGCACACAGGCCGTGAAGCAGCCTGGAACTGCATGTCTCCCACAGTACCTAGGGGTTCAGGAGTTTCTTCTTCCTAGACAGAAACCCAGCATCCTCAGGGTCACCACGTGAGGGTCCTAGCCATGCTTAATAACAGCTACCTGGTTTTTGGTGTTTGCTTTTTTTTTTTTTTTTTTTGAGACGGAGTTTCACTCTTGTTACCCAGGCTGGAGTGCAATGGCGCAATCTCGGCTCACCGCAACCTCCGCCTCCTGGGTTCAGGCAATTCTCCTGCCTCAGCCTCCCGAGTAGCTGGGATTACAGGCACGCACCACCATGCCCAGCTAATTTTTTGTATTTTTAGTAGAGACGGGGTTTCACCATGTTGACCAGGATGGTCTCGATCTCTTGACCTCGTGATCCACCCACCTCGGCCTCCCAAAGTGCTGGGATTACAGGCTTGAGCCACCGCGCCCGGCTTTTTTTTTTTTTTTTTAAAGAGTTTCACTCTGTCACCCAGGCTGGAGTGTTATAATCTCAGCTCATTGCAGCCTTGACCCTTGGGCTCAAGCGATGCTCCCACCTCAGTCTCCCAAGCAGCCATGATCAGGTGTGCGCCACCAACCTGGCTAATTTTTTTTTTTGTAGAAACAGGGTTTTGTCGTGTTGTCCAGGCTGGTCTCCAACTCCTGGGCTCAAGTGATCTCCCCACCTTAGCCTCCCAAAGTGCTGGGATTACAGGTGTGAGCCGCCATGCCTGGCCAAGCCACCTGTGTTTACAGAGCCCGCAAAGCCTGTTTGCATGTCTGAGTTCAAGTTATTGCCACCTGTGTTTATAGAGCCCACAAGACCTGTTTGCATGTGTGAGTTCAAGTTATTGCCACAAGAACACCTTTGATCTGCCCCAAGTAGCAGATGGGACACCCATCATGTGGATAAGGAAGCGGGCTCAGTGTGTCTAAGGCACTTGTCCAAGGTCACTCAGCAAGTGCATGGAGCATCTCCCCTAATCCAAGGTTTCTGCCTTCCATTCCCAGTGCTTTAATTCACATCCGGATCTTTCCCAGTACACTTTCCACAGCTCTGCTGTGCCGGGTAATAAAAGACCACTTCCTGCTCTTGGGTGTCCATAGCAAACATGGCCAGGTGCTTGGGACAGGTGGGAGGAAAATATATTTTGGGGATTAGAGTGGAGCAACTTTTGAAGGGTCCCATGGCCCTGGCTCACTCCAAGAAGAGTCCCAGTCCTGGCGTGGTGGCTCACGCCTATAATCCCAGCACTTTGGGAGGTGAAGGCGGGTGGATCACTTGAGGTCAGGTGTTCGAGACCAGCCTGGCCAATGTGGTGAAACCCTGTCTCTATTTAAAATACAAAAAATTAACTGGGCGTGGTAGCAGGTACCTGTAGTCCCAGCTACTCAGGAGGCTGAGGCAGGAGAACTGCTTGAATCTGGGAGATAGAGATTGCAGTGAGCCGAAATGGCAACACTGCACTCCAGCCTGGGCGAGAGAGGAAGACTCTGTCCCTGCAAAAAAAAAAAAAAATTCCTAAGAGGGCTGGATTCATGAACCAGAAGAGAAGCTGAGTGGATAAAAGATTAACAAGACACTGGAAGGCGTAGTCTGGAACGGACACACTGTGTGACCCTGAGAATGACACTCCCACCCCTGAGACTCGGTATCCAATGGTGAAGAGCTGGGACGGCCCCTCTGCTGGGCCCCTAACCCGGGCATTGCAACTTGGTTTCCATGGTACTTCCTAGTGGGTCTAGACATTTTCTTTTTTTTTTTTTTTGAGACGGAGTCTCACTCTGTCGCCCAGGCTGGAGTGCAGTGCTAAGATCTTGGCACACTGCAACCTCTGCCTCCCGGGTTCAAGTGATTTTCCTGCCTCAGTCTACCGAGTAGCTTGGACTACAGGTGTGTGCCACCACGCCCGGCTAATTTTTGTATATATATATATTTTTTAGTAGAGACAGTGTTTCACTGTGTTAGCCAGGATGGTCTTTATCTCCTTACCTTGTGATCCCTCCGCCTCGGCCTCCCAAAGTGCTGGGATTACAGGCAGGAGCCACCGTTCCTGGTTGTGTCTAGACTTTTTACTGGTGCCTGCTCGGTGGCTGGGGTGGGTTTGGAGAATGGGCAGCCTCATTCTTGCAAGGCAACTTTTCCCAGGTGAGGCTACTGCAGGGTTTACATCTACCACCCAGGTTGTAGGGTTCACATTTTGCTGTATTTTCTTTATCACCTGTGCCTCTATCTATTCCACCCCAGTCCGACTCATGCAGAGCTGATACTTCTTCTCTCAGTCTGCATTTGAAGGCTATACCGTTCAAGCCATTTTCTCTCTTCCTGAAGCAGCTCCTTTCTTTAAAGCCATGAAATCTTGTTGATGGTCTCCGAAAAATAAAATACATTCAACTCTAGGACAGTCATGACCACATATTCTTCTAAAAATTGCATGTCCAGGCATCCAGGCCAGGCGTGGGAGCTCAGACCTATAATCCCAGCACTTTGGGAGGCCAAGGTGGGAGGACCGCTTGAGCTCAGGAGTTTGAGACCAGCCTGGGCAGCATAGTGAAACCCTGTCTCTAAAAAAAAATACACGAAATTAGCTGGGCGTGGTAGCACATGTCCACAGTCCCACCTACCTGGGAGGTTGAGGTGGGAGGACAGCCTGAGTCTGGGAGGTCGAGGCTGCGGTGAGCTGTGATCGTGCCACTACATTCCAGCTTGGGTAACAGAGCAAGATTCTGTACCAAGAAAAAAAAAAAAAATAGGCCAGGTGCAGTGGCTCACGCCTGTAATCCCAGGACTTTGGGAGGCTGAGGTAGGCGGATCACCAGAGGTCAGGAGTTTGAGACCAGCCTGGCCAACGTGTCAAAATCCTGTCTCTACTCAAAATACGAAAGTTAAGTGGATATGGTGGCACCTGCCTGTAATGACAGCTACCTGGGAGGCTGAGGCATGAGAATCACTTGAGCCCAAGAGACAGAAGTTGCAGTGAGCTGAGATTGCTCCACAGCACTCCAGCCTGGAGTCTCATTCAACAGAATGAGACTCTGTCTCAAAAGAAAAAAAATTATATGTCTATTTAATTTTTTTTTTTTTTTTGAGATGGAGTTTCGCTCTTGTTACCCAGGCTGGAGTGCAATGGCACGATCTCGGCTCACCGCAACCTCCGCCTCCTGGGTTCAGGCAATTCTCCTGCCTCAACCTCCTGAGTAGCTGGGATTACAGGCATGCGCCACCATGCCCAGCTGATTTTTTGTATTTTTAGTAGAGACGGGGTTTCACCACGTTGACCAGTACGGTCTCGATCTCTTGACCTCGTGATCCACCTGCCTCAGCCTCCCAAAGTGCTGGGATTACAGGCTTGAGCCACCGCACCTGGCTGTCTATTTTTTAATTTTTCTTGAGACAAAGTCTGGCTCTGTTGCCCAGCTGGAGTGCAGTGGCACAATCTAGGTTCACTGCGACCTGTGCTTCCAGGCCTTTGACCTCCACATCCCAGGCTCAAGCCATCCTCCTACCTGAGCCTCCTGAGTAGCTGGACTATGGGTGTGCACCACCACGTCTGGCTAATTTTTGTATTTTTCGTAGAGATGGGGTTTCACCATGTTGCCCAGGCTGCTCTCAAAGCTCAAGCCATCTGCTGGGATTATAGGCTTGGGCACCACACCCAGCTCCAGATTAATATACTGAAGTCCTAACTCCATTACCTCAGTGTCTCTGTATTTAGAGACAGGGTCTTTAAAGAGGTAATTAAAATTAAATGAGGTTATTGGGGTGGGTCCTGATCCAATCTGACTGGTCTCCTTATATAAAGAGACACACAGAGGGACGATCCTGTGAAGACACAGTGAGAAAGCGGCTGTAAACAAGCCAAGGAGAGAGGTCCTCAGAGAAAACCAACCTCCCCACCCCAACACCTTGATCTTGGCCTTTAAGCCTCCAGAACTCTGAGAAAATACATTTCTGTTGTTTAAGCCACCCAGTGTGTGGTACCTTGCATGGCAGCCCTAGCAAACGAACATAGCCCTTATGAAAAACATACAGCTGCCCGGCACCATGGTTCACGCCAATAATCCCAGCATTTGGGAGGCCGAGGTGTGCAGATCACCTGAGGTTGACAGTTTGAGACCAGACTGACCAACATGCAGAAACCCCATCTTTACTAAAAATACAAAATTAGCTGGGTGTGGTGGTGCATGCCTGTAAACTCAGCTACTCGGGAGGCTGAGGCAGGAGAATCACTTGAACCTGGGAGACAGAGGATGCAGTGAGCTGAGATCGCACCACTGCACTCCAGCCTGGGCAACAAGAGCTAAACTCCATCTTAAAAAGAAAAAGGTAAGGCTAACATCATGCTTAATAGTGAGACTAAAGACTTTCTCCCTAAGATCAGAAACAAGGCAAGGATGTCTTTTCTCCCCAGTCCCACTAAACATTGTTGAATGTGCAATTTGTGCAATAAGGTAAGAAAAATACACTAAAGGCATCCATACTGAAAAGAAAGAAGTAAAACGATCTTCATTTGCAGATGACATAATTCTACTGTAGAAGACCTAAAGGAATGTTTAAAAAAAAAACCTGACTAGAATAAAGGTCCCAGAATACAAAATTAACATACCCAAATCCACTGCATTTGTATAAACTGGCAATAAACAATCCGAAAATGAAACTGAGAAAACAGTTTCACACATGGCCGGGCACTGTGGCTAACATCTATAATCCCAGCACTTTGGGAGACCAAGGCAGATGGATTGCTTGAGGTCAGGAGTTCGAGATCAGCCTGGCCAACATAGTGAAACCCTATCTCTACTAAATATACAAAGAATTAGCCAGGCTTGGTGGTGGTGGACAACTGTAATCCCAGCTACTCTACTTGAGAGGCTGAGGCAGGAGAATCACTTGAACCTGAGAGGCAGATGTTACGGTGAGCCAAGATTGCGCCACTGCACTCCAGACTAGGCAACAGAGCAGCACTCTGCGTCAAAAAAAAAAAAAAAAAAAAAATCCATACACATAAAACTATAAAACAACATTGCTGAGAGAAATTAAAAATTGCAGAGACATTTCACATTCATGGATTGGAAGACTCAATAGGTTTTTTTGTTTGTTTTTTTGAGACTGAGTCTCACTCTATAATCCAGGCTGGAGTGTAGTGGCGCAATCTCTGCCTACTGCAACCTCTGTCTCCTGGGTTCAAGTGATTCTCCTGCCTCAGACTCCCACATACCTGAGATTACAGGCATGCACCACCATGCCCAGCTAATTTTTGTAGTTTTAGTAGAGCCGGATTTCACCACACTGGCCAGGGAAAGACTCAAGGTTGTTAAGATAGATGGTAATTCTCCCCAAATTTGTCTATTAATTCAATGCAATGCCTATCAAACTTCCAAAGAATGTTTGTTGTTTTATCTTAAAGCAACTGAGAGGGCAGGTATTGTGGCATGTGCCTATAATCCCAGCTATTTGAGAGGCTGAGGCAGGAGGACTCCTTGAGCCTAGGAGTTTGAGACCAGCCTGGGCAATATAGCAAGACCCATCTCAAAAAAATTGACAATTGGATCTTAAAATTTGCATGGAAAGGCAAAGGAATTAGAATAACCAAAACACGTCCCAAAAAGAATAAAATTGGAGAATGTATACTCCCTGGTTTCCAAACTTGCTATGAAACTTCTAGTAATCACATCTATAAGATATGGAAAAAGGATAGACATATAGATCAAGGGAACAGAATGAACAATACGGAAAAAAAAATTAAAATTTATGGCCATTTTAGTTTTGAGGGTCTCAGTTTGTCACCCAGGCTGGAGTGCAGTGGTGCCATCATTGCTCAGAATAGCCTCAACCTTTGGGCTCAAGCCATCCTCATGCCTCAGCCTCCTGAGCAGTGAGGACTACAGGCGCGTCCCACCACACCCAGCTACTTTTTTTTTTTTCCTTACAGCCAGGGACTCACTCTATCATCCAGGCTGGAGTGCAGTAGCATGCTCACAGATCCTGGATTCAGGTGATCCTCCCACCTTAGCCTCCCAGGTAGTTGGGACTATGGGCACTCACCACCATGCCTAGCTAATTTTTTGTATTTTTGGTAGAGGTGGGATCTTGCCATGTTGTCTAGGAAGGTCTCAGAAACTCCCGGGCTCAAGCGATCCTCCTGCCTTGGCCTCCCAAAGCGCTGGGATTACAGTCTTGAGCCACCACGCCTGGCCATTTTCTTTCTTTTTTTTTTTTTTTTTTTTTTTTAGATAGGGTCGCACTATGTTGCCCAGGCTAGAGTGCAGTGGCTATTCATAGGTGCAATCATAGTGCACTGCAACCCTGAACTCCTGGTCAGCTGCCACTTCTTAAAATGTTTCTGTCCCCTTCTCTGGTTCTGGGACTACTGTTGTGCATGGGGACTGTGCTTTGTCAATGCCTAAGTCCTGCAGGGCTTGCTGTCACTCAGAATCTCCCATACCAAAACTCTCCTACACTTCAGTTTCAAAAGCTGGTAGTAAAGAAAAGAATGTGCCAAGAGCTGAAGTTCTGCTGTGATGAGACTGCCCAAGCTCCCCTGTATCTATACCCAGGGATCTGGATGGCTTAGTTCTTTTTTTCTTTTTTTGAGACAGAGTCTCACTCTGTTGCTCAGGCTGGAGTGCAGTGGTGCAATCTCGGCTCACTGCAAACTCCATCTCTTTTCAAACTCCACCTCCATTCTCCTGCTTCAGCCTCCCAAGTAGCTGGGATGATAGACCTGCACCGCCACACCTGGCTATTTTTGTATTTTAGTAAAGATGGGGATTCACCATGTTGGCCAGGCTGGTCTTGAATTCCTCACCTCAAGTGATCTGTCCGCCTTGGACTCCCAAAGTGCTGGGATTACAGGCATGAGCCACTGTGCCCAGCCTGGATGATTTAGCTCTTTAAGGCTTACAGAAGTTGGTACCTTATGGAAATGGGTTGGGGTGGTCTGGATGCCAGGTATTCTTCTGAGGTTGCTGTTCTCATAATTGCTATATTCAAGTATGTCACCCAATTGTGATAAAATGCGTAGAGCACAGCAGCAGAGTGGGACCAGCTGGGCTGAGGAGGAAATGAAGTACATTTTTATTTTCTTTTTTCTGAGACAGTCTCGCTCTGTCACCCAGGCTGGAGTGCAGTAACTCTATCTAGGCTCACTGCAACCTCTGCCTCCCAGGTCCAAGCGATTTTCCTGCCTCGGCCTCCTGAGTAGCTGGGATTAAAGGTGTGTGCCACCATGTCCAGCTGATTTTCGTATTTTTAGTAGACGAGGTTTCACCATGTTGGTCAGGCTGATCTTGAACTCCTGACCTTAGGCGATTTGCCCGCCTTAGCCTCCCAAAGTGCTGGGACTACAGGAGTGAGCCACCATGTCTTCACCAGTCTTGGTTAAGTATTTTATAGTTGCGTTTCATAACAACCCTATAAAGTAGGCATCACTGTCAATTTTACAAACAAGTAAACAGAGGCCTAGGACAGGTAACCTCCCAAGATCATACACCAAGGAAGAGGAAAGGCTGGCACTCAGGCCCAGGCCAGTAAACCCAAACCTCAAATGCCCTTAACCTACCACAACAATCTGGGATTCTGAGGTGCTTGAGTCAGCTGATACCCCAGATCTAAGCATCTGAAGGTCCCTAATTGTAGAGCCTTTCATGAGAACAAGCTGCTGGAGGGTAAGCACACATCACTCCTCGAGGCTGTACTAAAGGAGCCTCATCTTAGTTCCCCTATGCACATGGAGGTCACGCTGGGTGATCACCCTTGGGAGGGAGATGCGTAGCTTGACTTGGTGCTAATGCGTCCTGGCAAGGCGTTCTCCACTTGAGCAGCTAGCTGTGTGATCCCAGAGGCTCAAATCATGCGCCACAACGCCACCTACTGGCCGGCGAACAACATTGTCCTGTTGTAAAGTTGGCAAACAACCATTTACAAAGTTTCAAAATTTAAAAATCCTTAAAAGACGTTTTTTTTTGTTTTTTTTTTTTTTGGAGACGGAGTCTTGCTCTGTCGCCTGGCTGGGGTGCAGTGGCGCAATCTTGGCTCACTGCAACCTCCGCTTCCTGGGTTCAAGCAATTCTTCCGCCTTAGCCTCCCGAGTAGCTGAGACCACAGGCGCGTGTCACCATGCCCGGCTAATTTTTGTATTTTTAGTAGAGATGGGGTTTCATCATGTTGGCCAGGATGGTCTCGATCTCTTGACCTCGTGATGCGCACACCTTGGCCTCCCAAAGTGCTGGGATTACAGACTTAAAAGACATTTTAAAGATTTTGCCTTCCACTTTTCTCCATTCATTTAATCATCTGTTAAGTGCCAAGCACCATGTGAGGTGTTGGAGTTTGGGAGAGATCGAGTCCTTCTCAGAGGGATTTACAGAACCAGCAGGGCAGAGAACCAAATCAAGATAGAAACAGGCACGTGGGGACCCCAAAGGGGGCCATTTTACTGGAGAAGGAAAGGCACCACTGTGGGATGGTGGTCTGAAGCTGAGCTTTTGAAAGACAGAGGGGCTCATGCCTGTGATCCCGGCACTTTGGGATTCTGAGGTGGGTGGATCACCTGAGGTTAGGAGTTCGATACCAGCCTGACCAATGACCAACATGGTGAAACCCCATCTCTATTAAAAATACAAAATTAGCAGTGCATGGTGGTGCATGCCTGTAATCCCAGCTACTTGGGAGGCTGAGGCAGAACTGTTTGAATCGGGAGGCACAGGTTGCAGTGAGCCAAGATCCTGCCAATGCACTCCAGTGTGAGCAACAAGAGCAAAACTCTGTCTCAATAAATAAGTAAATAAAATGAAAGACAGGAGGGCTCTTGACGGGTTGGGGGTTCATGTGATCCTCAATTCGGGACTTTCCACAAGCACAGGGAACGGCCATCAGGAGACACTTTTGGTGAGCAAAATATGGGAGTGGGAAATGTCTCAGTGTGACTAGGGAGCAGGGCGTGAGGTGAGATCCAGCTGTGGGCCAGGTGCGGTGGCTCACACCTGTAATCCCAGCACTCTGGGAGGCCAAGACGGGTGGATCCCCTGAAGTCAGAAGTTCAAGACCAGTCTGGCCAACATGGTGTAACCCCATGCCTACTAAAAATACAAAAAATTAGTTGAGCATTCTGGTGGGCGCCTGTAATTCTACCTACTTAGGGGGCTGAGGCAGGAGAATCACTTGAACCCAGGAGGTAGAAGTTGCAGTAAGCAGAGACAGTGCCATTGGACTCTAGCCTGGGCAACAAGAGTGAAATTCCATCTCAAAAATAAATAAATAAAAAGATCCAGCTGTGGAAGGGGAGCATTCACCCGGCTGCACAATCAGCCACACCCTGGAGACCCTGGCTGGCCAGGTCTGGGGCTTGGACCTTCGTCTCATGACAAAGGGGAGTCTGTCAGGTGTTTCAAGGCAGTGAATAAAGCGACCTGCTGTATTTTACAAAGACGACCCTGCAGAGGGAGGATGGGATGACACGAGAAGCAGGACAATCATTAAGAGATGGTTCTCAAAGTCAGGGCTGACAACCCTCTCACCCACAGCAGTGGTGGGGGATAGAGAGAGGTCGGAACAGAGGAGAGGCACTGAGGAGACAGACCCTGTGAGGCTGGGTGATGAGCTGGAGGTGGAGGGAGAGGTGAGTGGGAACATCAGGTGACTCTCAGATTTCTGGTGTGGCTGACCATTCCTGAACTGGAATAGAAGAGGCTGATTTAGAAGGCAAGACAGAGACTGTTGTAAACATGTTAACCTATGAGATTCTCAAAACTAAAACACTTAAAAAAAAAAGCTACTTAAAAATTAGTTGGGGCTAGGCATCATGGCTCACGCCTGTAATTCTGGCACTTTGGGAGGCTGAGGCAGGTGGATCACTTGAAGTCAGGAGTTTGAGACCAGCCTGGCCAACATGGTCAAGCCCAACTCTACAAAAATACAAAAATTAGCTGGGTGTGGTGGCATGTCCCTGTAATCCCAGCTACTAGAGAGGCTGAAGCAGGAGAATCGCTTGAACTCAGTAGTGGACGTTGCAGTGAGCCGAGACTACACCACTGAACTCCCACCTGGGTGACAGAGCAAGATCCCATCTCAAAAAAAAAAAAAAAAAATAGTTGGATGAACAGGTAAGGTCCAGAGACTAACTTGTGGATGGAAGCTGGTATAGAAAAAGAGCACTGGCTGCTTCTCTGTGTTGTTCCCACAGTGTGAGAACACTGCTACCCCTTGCTTTCCACACAAACCTGAGCGCACACATGCCCACGTGGAATGCCAAGCCGCGGGTTCCTCCTATGAGGTCAGCTGCAGGCAGACGGCCAGTCGGAACTTCAGGAGGAGAGAAGATTTCCCACGCAGCCACTCCAGCACTGCAGAGAGGGTAAGATGAACACTTGCATCTTCGCTCCCGTTGCCAAATCCTTCCTTTCACTGTGGTAACACTGGTAGGTATGCACACTCTTCTCCAATGCTTATGCTTTGTGGGGGCAAACACATTTAAGTCACTACAGATGAAGAACATTTCACAAGCAGCCGTACCAGAGTAGTTAAAATGTCTGTTTATTCATTTATAAACCTAGTAACATGAAAAGAAACTCAATAGAACTCTCCTTGGTGGAGACACAGTGCACAGTGTTAGTGCCAGATTCACAGGGGCAGAAATGCTCGGTCATCCCGTGCATCCAAAGTCACCCAGGATCTCCAGAAAAGATCCCACTTACTGAAGTGCCTCGGATGTCTTCAGGGCCACATTGAAACTACACAGGAACAGAGAAGGGCTGAGCTGAAGTGCACACTGACAAACACAAATGATGAGTCACAGGACTCTACAGTAATTACAATGGTGTTTTTATACATCCCGAGTGTTGACTGGAGAGTAAAGTGTTAACTGAGCTGCTAGAAAACCCTTCACTGAAAGAGCTTTCTACCCCACGCCCATTGTTCTGAGGACAGAGAGGCTATGTCAGGTGGATGGGAACTCACACACTGAAATGAACTTTTCTTTCTCTTTCTTCCAATCTGCACCTACCATCTGCCATGCTGGAGTGTAAGGCACTAGAACCTGGCTTAGAGAAGAGTGGGGCTCTAAGCTCCAGTTCTTGGTGTGCAAAGGAAATCCTGACATAGATCTTTTGAAAGAGATGCTAAAAAATCCTCCCTATCTCCTGTAATTTCTGTCTTTGACAGATAGGAAAACAAGAAGGCAGAAGATGGGTTGCAAAGGATGAAAATGGGTGCATCTAAGAATGAGAAAAATGGCCCATGAAGAAATGTGTACCTCTCCAGGAGGTATAGGCACTCTGCTTGGAGAAGTCAAGAATCATAAACAACTCTTGTCATGGACAAAGGGAAGGCAAAGGCATACAAAAACACTCAGTTGTCCTGAAAAAGAGTGTACTGGTAGTGATCAGAGCTGCAAAGGCGAGCCCTGTACTGGAAATGGAGGAGCCTTACAACTCAGCACCTTAAAGTGGAGGCCCGCAGTGGTGGTGGGGAGGGAGGCGCTGACAGACAGACCCACAGCTCACTCACCACTTACTTCGTGTACACAGGGCCTGGGTCAAGCCCCACACATTTACCATTTCTTCCACTCAACTGTGCTTCTCCTGAATCCATGTGCCTGAAATGACATGTGCAAGGTGAACATTCTTTATATTGTGTTGACAAAATACTGCTTTTATCAATGTTTGTGAGGGATGTGTCAGGGCTAGCATGCAGAAGGAAAATTAGAATGGCAGGAAGTTATTATTCATTATTAACCACTGTTGACCAAACCTCTTAGTTTTTTTTTGTTTTTTTTTTGAGACAGAGTCTCACTCTGCCACCCAGGCTGGAGTGCAGTGGTGCAATCTCAGCTCACTGCAACCTCCATCTCATGGGTTCAAGTGATTCTCCCATCTTGCTCGGCCTCCCAAAGTGCTGGTATTATAGGCATAAGCGACCACGCCCAGCCAACCAAACCTGTCTTAGCTATTAAAGAAGACCCTTATTGACTACACTGGCCAAGAAACAACAGAGACATAAAAATGAACCTCGTTGCTAACCCCTGAAAGCAAGCCAATGCAAACTGCTCCACCAGGCCAGTCTTCTAGGGCCGATACCGATAATGTGAGTCACAGAAGATTACTTCTATTTCAGGTTCTCAAGAAGTGGTGTAGACTCAGCCAAATGCCAGCAAATGTGTCCATATGCCAGAGGAGAAGCAGAGCCAGAAATGAAGGTTATGGGTCCTATCTCCAGTGAAGCACTGAACACTGTCGGAAAGCTCCTGTCACTCTTGCACCACTACTGCCACCAAGACGGTGGGAAGGGAGGCGGCTAACTTTCAATTGCATGCAAAGGCAAATAGTATACTGTGGAAGCTGGAGATTTACTTTTCTATGTTTTAGTTACTTTCTTTGAAACAACAATCCAGGAAAACAAGCAAGCAGGTAAAACTCCTGGTGTGCACGAGGAGAGACCCAGGGCCAGCGTGCCTCCCGATGAGAACCAAACAGGAGTGGCTGGGCTCCACTCCTGAGGCCAGAGAAAACAGGCAGGGGTTTAATCACTGGGCTACATAGTCTCCGTGTCCCTGGCCTGAACGAGAGCTCTTGAATGTGGGGGGGCAGGGCCCCCTGGAAGAGTGTGAAAAATATAGTGGTCATTGTGCAGTTCTGTCTGCTGGAGTGTGGCCCAGCACGGCAGTTAGTGTTTGTCCGTTTTTGCTCTTCAGAGTTCCTGAATGAAGTTTTTCTGGCTTCAGTACCAAGGATCACGGAAGGATCATCTTCCTGATGCAACCTTAGATGGAAGTCAACGACACTGGCAGTGCTAAGAACAGGAATCACACATGGCCTGCCAATGAAGGGAGGTAATTAAGGATATTTCAGGGGAGGGGAAAGCCCACAGAAAACTGGCAACCCTGGGTCTCCATCTGTTTGAGGCCAATACACTTTGTGTTCCCAGGTTCAGAGGGCGTACACTGACAAGAGAAGGCAGAGTCCATCCCCAAAGGTGAGCACAAAATGCTATGACAGGTGATTGCAGAGAGGAAAAAAGCACCCAACTCCGTAAAGCTAAGTCCAGCCACCCATTCACAAGAGTCCAGAATCCTTGAAATCTCCAGGGACAGAAGACTAACAGGCTCCCCAGAATGAGCTGACACACAAGGCAAACACTTGGAAATGACACACAGATGAGGAGGCTGTGGTTGTTCCTCCTAATCCTGCTAGATTTGCAGCTCTGCCTCAGGACTGGAACATCTACTAGCCTCCCCTGTTCATTCAGAGGCCACTGCCTCTGAGGAGTCCAGAAAGCTCCGTCACCTGACACCAGTGATCAGGAAGTTATGCTGTTCTTTCCTCTTGGAAAGTATGCTTGGATACTAGACAGAGGCAAAGCATTATGCCAGAAGCAGGGAAAAGTCATTCATTCACTGTCAGATCTGTTTGTTCAAAGAGCTCACATTAGACCAATTACAGAAAACCACCAGACTTGCACAGCCTATATCTGAATGAACCAGGAGAGACTTCAAGGATAGACTTAAAGTGCTAGAAGAGAAATCTGTATGTTTGGGGCATTCAATAAACAAGTGATGTCACAGAAGACCCACATCCTGTTAGTCTTAGGAATATGACCCTATTCATGGACAAGGTGTTTCAATGGACAGCCTGAGTGCTCACCCACCCCATCCTCCTCTCGTAGCAAGACAAGCAGTCTGTTGCTCAGAGGGGGAAACTGTGACGTCATTTAACAAGAGGCCAGGACTTCTGGCTCTAGTTCAACAAAAAGTCAGTGCATAATTCTGGACACAGCATCAGATTTTCTGACTTCTTAGAAAGAACAGCTAATTAAAAACATGTCAAACTCTAGTAGTTACTTGGAGATTAACAAGGGCAGAAAAGAAGAGAATACAAGTCTTAAAACCCTATGTAGGATATACTTCTGATGAAACTTCTACTTGAATAATATACCGTGATGATGGCACTATTTGATTTTAAACTATGGAGACAGCTTTTATTCTTTCAATTTGGATCCTGGTAAGTGCTATATAACAGTTAAAGCCCAAATGTATTGCCATAGTTAAGGTTGAAGAGTTAAATCTATGTGTAACTAAATCCTTCTCAATTCAGTTACAAATACATTTCCCTTTACAAAGATGACTCTGGAGGGTGCAAGCACTACATGTTTGGAAGAGCAGGGATGCCTGCAGCTCTCAGTCACCTGTTGGCATGTTTGTAGTTAGTCTGCTCCCTGCTGATAATGACTGCATTGACCAAGGGCCTATTCCTCTCCTAAGGCCTTCACTACTGTTCACTGGTTGGCCCTACAGCCAGCAACACCTCTCCTGCTCTCTCCTGTCTGCCTAGAGGAAGCATCTCTCAGCTATTTAAGTACACACTTGCTCCAAGATAACTGAGCCCCCAAACAGAATCTAATCACAAGCTCCTTTAATAAGCCAACTAGAACCCTCCAAAAAGGTGGACACTAAAGTCAGTAATCACTAGAAGTGGTCTAGCCGGGGAAATGGCAACAAGTGTCTAGAAGGAGCCAGAGTAAGTGGGTAAACAGAGATCCCAAAAGAAACTCGAGAAGGCAGACACCTGAGGATTTTAAGCTACTCTAATGAAATGGAAGATCTCCCTTAATACACTTATAGACCTATCAGAGCTAATGCTTCCGAGATCCCAAGACATCAAAGGCTAGAGTTTTAACTAAAATCTCTTATAGCAGTTTGTTTGCACTTAAACAAAAAGTCAGATTACAGCAGTTTATATGCAAGGGTAAAATGAAGTGTTGAAGCTGGACAGCAGTCCATGATATCTGTTTCACCTTGGGAAAATAGACACTCTCCCTGAAAGAATGCAGAACACTCCTGGGCATCCAAGTCATTTTCTACTCCAGAGGATATGGAGAAATGGCTGAAGGGAAAGCAGGAAAAGTGGTCTCTAGCCTTACACAATGTACACCCCTGGGACTCAGAACTCTCAGTGGACTAATGTGGGTCACTTCTGTGTGGCTCTGTTGTGCTAGAAGTCAAACCTGGAATTCCAGCAGCTCTGTGGAACTTGGCACAGCCCGCAAGGTTGACGTGCTCAGGACAACACACCCGATCCCTTCCCCTCCCTGTTCTAAAGGGAGAGAAAGCAGCATGACTATGGGCCAACTGAAGGGGACAGGTGAGGCTGACCTGATGTTCAAAGAGATTCTCAGGTCCCAATGAAGACAGCTCTGGGTGGAAGATTTACATCTTAAAGAGTAAGAGAAGGATGTTTTAATTGCAAGCTTTCTAAGTAATTGCTCTAAGAGCAAGTTCAGGGGCCTATGTCTATTACTAGGTTTGGGCTGGGCTGAACAGTAAATTTTTCTGACAGCAATGAGCTTTTTCAGGCAGGCATTTTAAGAGGGAGGCTGAGGGCATCCTGGGGACAGGGCCCTAAGTTGCTAGAAGCTACACTAGGGCTTGGTTAAGGAGAGTCTTTGCTCCTGGCAGCTCTTGGTAGTGCAGTTTCAATGCCTTAGAACAAGAGTGGTGGATGGACTGTGATAATGATGGATAGTGAGTCATTAATAGAAGAGGATTCTAATTAAAACAAGGAAAACAAGAACAGGGGAAGAAGAAAACCTGAACTTCAGACAGGTGAGAGAAAAGCAGCATCATTTCCATAGCTGAATGCTCAGCGTCACTGGTGGGGACTGAGGTCAGACCCTTTTGACTGGGAGAAGCAACACACAAGGCAACATGGTTTTTCCCTTTCACTGTGGCTTACTTCTTTACGCGACTAAGAAAGAAAAAGCAACCTTATTAAAGAGATTAGCAAGAGATGAAGAAATTCATCTGTCCCAAAGGTCTGCTAACTGCTTCTGCAGGGACAGAGAAGACGGTGCCAGGTTAACTGCTTGTCTCCACTGCAGAACAGAAAACGTCCACGTGATGCCTCTCATCAGTGAGGTAGATGATCATCCTCTTACCAGAGGTATCAAGTGCCAGCCCACAGTGCAGTGGAACAGGAGAATGAGCTGCCTGGCTGCAGGCATGTGCTGTTCCTCAAGGCTGCATCCCACACACGGCAGCCCCACCAGAATTAATAGGGTGCTCCGAGAAAACAGAACCCAAGGGAGAGGGGAACTCGTGCCCCGAGGCCTGCACCACCCTGGCTTGCTCTGTTTTGAGATGCAGAATTTGAAACCAGCTGTCACCGTCACTCAGGTCCACAGTGGAGCCTGCTTCTGTCCTGCCTGTCAGACACACGTCCTGCCACCATGAGAAGCTGAATGTGGGAAGGGAAGAAGAGCCCAGAGTGAATATTAGGAGGAGGAAGTAGAAGGTCAAGGGAGGCTGAAAAGCAAAAAATTTTAAAGTAGGTCAAGTTCAAAATTATATCACGGAGATAAGAGACAGGAGGCAAAGGAGGGTTCCTTTAAGTTTCACCTTGGGAAAACAGAGATGCTCCCTGAAAGCGTGCAGGGCACTCCTGGACACCCAAGTCATTTTCTACTCCAGAGGATATGGAGGAAAGGGCTAGAGGGAAACAAAGGGCCTGAAGGGAAAGCAGGAAAAGCAGTCTCTAGCCTTATGTAATGTATACCCCTTGGAGTATGTTCCAAAGAGGAATGGAGGCAGAAGGAAGAGAAGCTCCAAGGTGACGTCTGCTCCAGGACAAGATGATGGAGAGGTGGGGAGGCTGCCCTGCCATCACTTCCCATGTAAGTCACTCAGCTCCATGTCATCCTTTCGGCGCTTGTGGGTGAAGAGGGAGGCGACAGGGTAAAGCTTGGCTTTGGCCTGGAAGCGGTATCCTGCGATGTCAATCTCATACTCTCCCCGGTTGATGAAATCTGCTGTCACCACCTGCTCTTCCCCCGTGTCCTCAGAAAAATTGTGCACAAAGCCCAGGCAAACGTGGCGCTCCAGGCTGTAGCTGTAGGCACTGCTGGTCGTCTTGCCAACAAACTGCCCATTCCGGTAAATGGGCTCTCCCCACCAAGGCCAAAGGTCTAGGTCTGTGTCATGGTCGTCCAGGATGAACATGGTGAAGCGTTTATACACTCCATTCTGCTTCTGCTGCAGGAGGGCGTCGCGACCAATGAAATCCATGCCCTAAAAAGAAAGGAACGGTCAAGTCACCCAGTGACACTCAGACCCTTTGCACAGAAAGTAGCAGCATGGGAAGGGTCCCCTGGTGTGACTACAATTGGGCGCGGCCACCTCCTCCCACAGCCTTGCCAGCTTTAGGGAAATGGTGTGCTTGCCACCATGTGAAAAACTGCATTTGCAATATAAAATACCCTTCAGAAATTTTTGTAACAACAGAGGTACACATTTTGTTTCCTATTTTATAAACATAAAGTCACAAGACCAGACGGAACGAAATCATTTAGGAAAAAAAACTCACTCACTTAATAAAATACCCTATCAGTACAGTACTTTAGAAGAATGTTTTTATACTGGCCAGGCACTATGGCTCACGCCTATAATCCCAGCACTTCGAGAGGCTGAGGCAGGTGAATCACCTGAGCTCAGGAGTTTCAGACCACCCTGGCCAATGTGGCGAAACCCTGTGTCTACCAAAATACAAAAAATTAGCTGGGTATGGTGGCGTGTGTTTGTGGTTCCAGCTACTTGGGAGGCTGAGGTGGGAGAATCACTTGAGCATGAGAGGCTGACGCTGCAGTGAGCCAACATCGCGCCACTGCAGTCCAACCTGGGTGACAGAGTGAAACTCTGTCTCAAAATCAAAAACAAAAAAACCCCACAAAAATTAGGCAACTGACTATAAGATGACTAATTTGTACAAATATTCGTGGCATGTTAATGAGTCACCAAATCAACTCGGAACAGCTTCCCAGAAAGCACTGTCTTTTAGACAGCAAAGCACTAGAAATAAATGGGTTTTTGTTTTTCTTTTTTGAAATCTTTTTTTTTTTTTTTTTTTGAGACGGGGTTTTCGCTCTTGTTACCCAGGCTGGAGTGCAATGGCGCAATCTCGGCTCACCGCAACCTCTGCCTCCTGGGTTCAGGCAATTCTCCTGTCTTAGCCTCCTGAGTAGCTGGGATTACAGGCACGCGCCACCATGCCCAGCTAATGTTTTGTATTTTTAGTAGAGACGGGGTTTCACCATGTTGACCAGGATGGTCTCGATCTCTTGACCTCGTGATCCACCCGCCTCGGCCTCCCAAAGTGCTGAGATTACAGGCTTGAGCCACCGCACCCGGCCTTTTGAAATCTTAATATAGAGATGAGGTCTCGCTGTATTGCCCAGGCTGATGTAGAACTCCTGGGCTCAAGTGATCCTCCTGCCTTGGCCTCCCAAAGTGCTAGGATTACAGTCATGAGCCACTGTACCTGGCCAAGTGCGGTCTATTTATTTATTATGGTTTTCTGGTTTTTTTGAGACAGAGTCTTGCTCTGTCTCCCAGGCTCAAGTGCAGTGGTGAATCTCGGCTCACTGCAACCTCCGCCTGCTGGGTTCAAGCGATTCTCCTGTCTCGGCCTCCTGAGTAGCTGGGACTACAGGTGCCAGGCACCACACCCAGCTATTTTTTGTATTTTCAGTAGAGACAGGGTTTCACCATGTTGGCCAGGCTTGTCTCGAACTCCTGACCTCAGGTGATTGGTCCACCTCAAGTCTCCCAAAGTGCTGGGATTACAGGTGTGAGCCACTGTTATTATGTTTTCATTTGAAGATATTTCATCCTATAAAGTTTTCATTCTCAGGACACTCATGTCCCCATTTGCCTAATACTAAGATCAAGGCCTCATTCTTTTTCCTCTTTTTCTGCCATATCAGTTCTTCTTCCTACTCCAGTACAGGTTCACTACTCAGGAAGCTGAGTGAAAGTGGAGTCTGGATAAACACAGTACCTTCTCTAATTTCACCCGAGACTCTCGTCCACATTCCAGGGGCGTGGTGAGGTTATTTATATCCTGACCCCAGAAGGCAAAAAACTTCTCAATTCGGAGACTTCGAAGAGCATAATATCCAGCATTCCGGATTCCATATTTCTGCCCAACACTCATCACTTCATTGTATACATGCAGGGCATACTATAGGAACAGATAGAAAGTTAGTAAGCAGTAGACCTTCAAAATTAAGGATGGAACATGTGTGGAAGCGCTAACAGCTCACACTATTAACGTGGACAAGAAAGGAGGCGCATAAAACTCCCAGGATGTCTCATCCTTGATGCACTTAGGCACAGCCCAGGAGTGACGAGCTGGGGTACCCCCAGCCTAAACTTAAGCTCCATAACAGCACGATCCATGTCTTTTCACCTCTCTAAAATGTCTTGTGTGGTGATTCTAGCACTCAGCAATTATTTTTTTCTTTGAGACGAAGTTTTGCTCTTGTTGTCCAGGCTGGAGTGCAATGGTGCAATCTTGGCTCACTGCAATCTCCACCTCCCGGGTTCAAGCGATTCTCCTGCCTCAGCCTCCCAAGTAGCTGGGATTACAGGCCTGCACCACAACACTCGGCTAATTTTGTATTTTTAGTAGAGATGGGATTCCACCATGTTGGCCAGGCTGGTCTCGAACTCCTGACTTCAGGTGATCCACCCACCTCGGCCTCTCAAAGTGCTGGGATTACAGGCATGAGCCACCACACCCGGCCTTTTCAGCAATTCCTTAATAACAACTTGTAGAAGCACTCTCACCATTTGGTAATGGCCAATCCTATCATCGTTTCCACAACAGCCCACTCACCCTCCACAGTCTTCATCTGATTCTGGCTTTGTTGTTTTGTTCCAATTCCCAATCACTGTCATTCCCTCATGTGCTGGCCCAAGCTGTGAGGCCCAGCTCTCAAAGGTAACTTGAGATGCGTGCACACATCGGATGAAGCCAGGGGAGCCAGGAAGGCAGGGCATGCCCGCTCATGTTCCACAGCTTTCAGGCTCTCAAGCTGCTCTTTTCTCGGTTTCAGAATCATGTACATTATCAGATAAGTGAACAGAAGGTTTTCCAAACTGGAAGCAAATACTCAATCTCTGTCTGAACATATGCTGTTAAGTTTAAAGTCCAACAAAAATCAGACTATACTGTTTGCTTTAAAAATCGTAAAATGAAATACAAAGCAAGAAAGCAAAAAACCAGCTTCAGTGGTACTGCAGTTCTTTACGCTAGCATAATATGTTTCTAAACACTGCACCACTGTAGCTGAATAGGCATCCACCAAACACATCACTATGATCAAGACAACTTTATTTATTTATTTATTTATTTTTGAGACAGAGTCTTGCTCTGTTGCCCAGGCTGGAGTGCAGTGGCACAATCTTGGCTCAGTGCAACCTCCACCTCCTGGGTTCAAGCAATTCTCCTGCCTCAGCCTCCCAAGTAGCTGGGATTCCATAAGCCCGCCACCACACTCGGCTAATGTTTGTATTTTTAGTAGAGACAAAGTTTCGCCAAGTTGACCAGGCTGGTCTCAAACTCCTGACCTCAGGTGATTCACCCGCCTTGGCCTCCCAAAGTGCTGGGATTACAGGTGTGAACTACCACGCTGGGAAGACAACCTCAAATATGGAAAAAAGGAATCCATACTATTGCATGCAACACCTGCCTGTGGTATGTGTGTAAGGGAAACACCTGAATCAGCCAAGGTGGGTAAGGGGAGCCACAGAATACGGCAGGATGAGAATACAGAGCTGGTGTCTTTGGGGAGTGTGGTGCTCTCCCACATCAAGCTCAATCCCCGGTACTTTAGGTAAGAGGACAACCAAGGAGTAAAGCTGTAACCAGATGACTAGTGCTGGGCCAGATCCAACCACATGACTATTGTTGGTGGGTCTCCACCATTTACTCATCTTTCTCACAAAATACCACAGATTTAGCAGGAAGAAAACAAGAACCTGCCCTTTGCCCCCATGTTTTGGAAAACCTCTTCTCAAAGAGACAAACATAAGCTTCCCGAGGACAAAGCCAGCTTACAAAAGGTCCAAGAATGGCACAATTAATCTCTTGGACTCATGAAAAATCCTAAGAATGGGAACAGCTCAGAGAAATCAGAAGGCTGAAACCAAAGCCTCCAAGCAAGGATGAAGCTGCAAGAGCCACAGAGCCTCCCCTTCCTGATGAGGTTTGGCCACAAGCGCCCAGGTGACAACACCTGAACGAATGTGTAGAACTCAGAATCAACCTGTCTGCACATGCAAACCATGGGAGTTGCATGTTTAAACTCTTCCCAAGTCTTGAACAATTTCTTCATATTGGTATAATACTTCTGAGTGTAAAAAAGCAGATGATATTTCATGGATTGTTAAACGTGTGCTTTATTTAATAATCTTAAAAGGGCCAGGCACAGTGGCTCAAATAACTACAAAGAGGGCCAGGCACAGTGGTTCATGCCTGTAATTCCAGCACTTTGGGAGGCTGAGACAGGAGGATCATTTGAGGCTGGAGTTTGAGTCCAGCTTGGGCAATGTAATGAGACTCTCACTACTACAAAAAATAAAAAACAGCTGGGCACCTGTGGTACTACCTACTCAGGAAGCTGAGATAGAAGCTGAGTTCAAACTTCTGCTTGAACCCAGAAGTTCAAGGCTACAGTGAGCTATGATCATGCCATTGCACTAAAAAATAATAATAGGCCAGGTGTGGTGGCTCACGCCTGTAACCCCAGCACTTTGGGAGGCCAAGGCGGGCAGATCACAAGGTCAGGAGTTCGAGACCAGCCTGGCCAATACGGTAAAACCCTGTCTCTGGGCATGGTGGTGCACAACTATAGTCCTAGCTACTCAGGAGGCTGAAGCAGAAGAATTGTTTGAATCTGGGAGGCGGCGGTTACAGTGAGCCAAGATCACACCACTGTACTCCAGCCTGGACAACAGAGTTTGACTCTGTCTCAAAATAATAATAATAATAATGAATAATAATAATTAAGGATGGGGTGGTGGCTCACACCTGTAATCCCAATACTTTGGGAAGCTGAGGCAATAGGATCACTAGAGTCCAGGAGTTTGAGACCAGCCTAGGCAACACAGCAAGACCCACCTCTACAAAAACAAAATTAAAAAATTAGCTGGGCATGTTGGCACATGCCTGTAGTCCCAGCTATTCAGGAAGCTGAGGCAGGAGTATCACTTGAGCCTAGGATGTCAAGCTGCAGTAAGCCAGCATGGGTGACAGAGTAACATCCTATCTCAAAAAAAATAAAAAATAAAAAAAGTAAAATAAAATAAATAAAAGGAAACCTATCACTATGAGTAAGATGAGGAGAATCAAGAAGAAAACAAGCATGCCTAATGCTTACAATCACTGCTACCTGTAACAATAGGACAAAGAAAGAAAATTACAGGAATAAAGATTGTGGAGAAGGAAACTATTACTATTTGCATATGGTAAGACTGAACCCGGCCTGCAGACCTTTTTATAACAGCAAAAGACTGGAAATACCATAAATGTCTGTTAGTATCGGGATGAATTAGTACCACAATGGAATGCTATGCCACTGTCAAAAAATTTTAAAAGAATGAATGAGGAAGCTCTTTTTCTTTAGTTACCAACAAAGAAAGAGCTCTAAGAGAAATTGCGGCGTGAGGCCGGGTGCAGTGGCTCACGCCTGTAATCCTTTGGGAGGCTGAGGCAGGCGGATCACTTGAGGTCAGGAGTTCGAGACTAGCCTGGCCAACATGGTGAAACCCCATCTCTACCAAAAATACAAAATTAGCCAGGTGTGGTGTCGTGCACTTGTAATCCCAGCTACTCAGGAGGCTAAGGCAGGAGAATCATTTGAACCTAGGAGACGGAGGCTGAAGTGACCAAGACTGCGCCACCACATTTCAGCCTAGGCAACAGAGTGAGACTCTATATCAATTTTAAAAAAATATTGTGAAGTGAAAAAAAAAAAAAGGATGAAGAATAGCAGTATGCTTCCATTTCTGTTTTTAAAAACGGTGCTTGGGCCAGGCGCAGTGGCTCATGCCTGTAATCCTAGCACTTTGGGAGGCCAAGGTGGGTGGATCACCTGAGGTCAGGAGTTCAAGTCAAGCCTGGTCATCATGGTGAAACCCCATCTTTAAAAAGAAAAAAAAAGGGGAGGGGGCTTGGCTGGGTATGGTGGCTCACGCCCATAATCCCAACACTTTAGGAGGCCAAGGTGAGTGGATCACCTGAGGTCAGGAGTTTGAGATTAGCCTGAATGACATGGAAAACCCAGTTCTACAAAAAAATACAAAAATTAGCCAGGCATGGTGGTGCATGCCTACAGTCCCAGCTACCTGGGAGGCTGAGGTGAAAGGGTGGCTTGAACTCAGCAGGTCGAGGCTGCAGTAAGCTGCAGTCATGCCACTGCATTGCACCCTGGGCAATAGAGTGAGACCCTGTCTCAAAGAAAAAAAAAAAAGTCACTGTGAATTTGCTTGCATATGCATAAAAATCTGATATGACATATAAAAGTAATACTAATATTACTGGTGGCTGTTGGGGAGAACTGATCAGATGGTGCCAAATACTTTTTAAATGTATTACCTATTCAAAAAAACTTAAGTAACTTAGTTAAAAATGGTCAAACCACTTTTTCAATGTAGGGTACCTCAGTTCCCAAGGCCCAATCAGACACAGCCCTCCAAACCCGCCAGTGCTGGTGAGTGCTGGGAGCGCCTGCACCCCACAGCGTTTCTGGGAAGGGAGGGGTGCCCTCTCACCTCTATGGGGATGTACAGCATGAATCCCGGCTCTCCTGTGTGTGTCATGCTCATCACGCGGATCCCATTTGCATAGCCCACGCTCATCTCCTGCAGGGACAAAGGCAGCAGTCAGCCTGGGCACTCATACTGCTTGTCAAGGGAGGGACGCCTGGGAAAACCTTTCATTAATGCTGCACCCTCTGTTTACTGTTGAGGGAGATAGACGTCAAGGCAAGAGTTTCATCTTGAAAGTGGTGCATTTCTAGGTCCCGAGGCACCGAGAATGGAGCACCGCCTCTACGACATCTCTGCCTGCTACTGTTACTATTTCACAAGTTTTAGCCCAGCTGATGGTGGAGAGTGAAGGGAAGTCCATGACAAAATATTCCTCCTTGCCAGGTCCTTGTATTAGTCGGGGATAGCAGACACAACCAGGACAAGACAAGTGTCTTCTCTGGGGGACTTGGCAGACAAAGCCTGGCCACCTGCCATTCAGAAGATGATGCTCAATGCCCACAGACATGACTCATCTGCTACCCTGGGGTCAAAAGCGGGCTTCTGATTCTCAGAACATGTTACACAGCAGCTCAGTTCCTGCCAGTGATGCAACTGCTTTTCCTATAAAGTAAAGTGGAAAGTCTCAGAGAGCAATGAAGCAAACCGCTTCCATAGTACACAGACAGGATGCGGCACTCACCAGGTGAGAGGGTATGGGTGACTCCTCCAAGCAGCAGAGATCACTGGGAGGGGACCACTGATGGCTAACAGTGGAGAGTTTTCTATTGTTTTCATTCTACCTCCGAGAAGGAAAACTGTAACAATTTGTAGGTGGATCCCAACTGTGGTTGAAATTTAGAGTTTCCATCAGTAACTGGAAGTTGCTGGTTACAGGTTGCCAAAAGGGCTGTCCCTTGGCCCTCTCTAATCAGCTGCTTCTTGGGGAGGATTCCGTTGTCACTGCTTTCATTCAGTTACAGTTTGTTTCACTCAGCTGTGGTAGCCACTTATAGCAAAGAAAATTATGTAAGAAGTTCAGAGATTCACCTAAACCATTTCTTCCCTGAAGATGCCACATATGCAGAAGTTACTCTGTGTAGGGAGAGAAGGTACCTAACCTCGACGGGCATTTCTGGGTGTCAGTGTCATAATCCTATAACTTCAAATTTTAATCCACTGTTACAGAAAACAAAAAATATACAGACTTTACATTTAGAGAAGCTAAAACCACTTCAAAGATATCCGAATGCTTACTAGATAAGGAAAGCTTGGAGTGTAAAACATAAATATACTCAGGCACTTCCTTGCTAATAAAAGTCAGCTGCTTTTTTTTTTTTTTTTTTTTTTTGAGACAGTGTCTCACTCTGTTGCCTAGACTGGAGTGTAATGGTACAATCTGAGCTCACTACAACCTCTGCCTCCTGGGTTCAAGCAATTCACATGTCTCAGCCTCCCGAGTAGCTGGGACCACAGGCATGAGCCATCACACCTGGCTAATTTTTGTATTTCTGGTAGAGACAGGGTTTCACCATGTTGGCCAGACTGGTCTCGAACTCCTCACAAGTGATTCACCTGCCTGGGCCTCCCAAACTGCTGGGATTACAGGCATGAGTCACTGCGCCCAGCCAGCACACTCTTTCATTTGAGACAGAGTCTCACTCTGTTACCCAGGCTGGAATGCAGTGGTGCAATCTCGGCTCACTGGAACCTCTGCCTCCCAGGTTCAAGTGATTCCCGTGCCTCAGCCTCCTGAGTAACTGGGACTATAGGTGTGCACCACCACAACCAGCTAATTTTTGTATTTTTAATAGAAACAGGGTTTCACCATGTTGGCCAGGCTGGTCTCAAACCCCTGACCTTGGGTGATCTGCCTGCCTCAGCCTCCCAAAGTGTTGGGATTATAGGTGTGAGCCCCTGCGCTTGGCCAGGACACTCTTCATGGGCATTAACGCCATAGTAGGAACATGTAACTGCCCCCGCTATGAGAGGCATATTCTCTGCCCATTTAAGAAACAGAAATTTACCAGCACTCACCTTGCAAAAGAGACTTGGGAAGTGGTCTGGAGTCATAGGGGCATAGGATAACTCGGACAGCACATCCACAGCTCGAGGGCCAATCAGATTGAGGGCTAAATGGAAAAGAACAAGAGATGTCTAGCTCTCCTGCTGAACAGCTGAACCAATGGGAAAGGTCTACTGTAGACTTGCTCAGCCATGGCCAGGCCTGGGTGCTGAGACCAGCAATGTCCCCTTGCTTAGGCACTCCAAGGATGGATGCTAAACACCCCAATTCTGGTAAACACACCTCTGCCAACAGGGCCTGCTGAAGGCAGCTACTGACTGCTGCTTGCATTGAGAGAACCTGGCTAAATATGCTTCCTCTGCCTGATACCAAGGAAGACAACATTCCAGATCTCCTCTGCAATTACAGAGGATTGCAAGACAAGTCCTGGCCAATAAGACACAAGCCCACTTGCAGGGCTGGCCATAATTGCCCTACACAATTCCCATTCTCTTCCCAGAGTGGCTATGTGATAGACGAAGCCCCAAAACCAAATAAGTACCTGGAGGAGATCTGCCCAGTCAAAAAGTATACAGACTTTACATTCAGAGAAGTAAAATCCACTTTAAAGATATTCTAATGCTTACTAAATAAGGAAAGCTTTATTCCGAACTCCCATGTCTGTGACAGCAGCTTGTGCCAATTACATGCCATCTATTCTAACACAGGCCAGAACATGACTTTTGTTCAGTAACATTCTATAGTTTGCCAATCTAGGAGCAGAATTTAAATCATATTCGCTACTATAAGGAGTTCAGAATGAGGGCCTGGGAGGGCAAACGCTGCTAGGGCTGAGGGGCAGGATCAGTTAGGTGGGAGGGCAGGAGGTGTTAAGTCAAGACTGCTAAGGGTAAGAAAATCAGGGAACCAAGTCATCCTTAAAAATTAGGTACTCACACACGCACAAAAAGACATTTTGAAGAAAATATTACTTAGGTAGTAAAGACTGAACTACTGTAAATATTATTTACTCATTCATTCAATAAATAATTGACTTCCTACACGCAAGCTATAGGGGATATAGCAGTGAATAAAACAAATAGAACAGAACCACTAATTCATTTCACACTCCACTTAAAAAAAGAAAAAGGGGCTGGGTATAGTGGCTCATGTTTGTAATCTCAGCACTTTGGGAGGAGGCAGGCAGATTACTTGAGCCCAGAGTTTGAGACCAGCCTGGGGAAAATGGCGAGATCCTATCTCTACAAAAAAAATTAAAAATTAGCTGGGTGCAGTGGCATGTGCCTGTGGTCCCAGATACTCTGGAGGCCGAGGTGGGATGATCGCTTGAGCTCAGGAGGTTGAGGCTACAGTGAGTTGTGATGGCACCACTGCAGTCCAGCCTGGGCAACAGACCCTGTCTCAAAAAAAAAAGAAAAGGCAGTATTAGATACCAATTTTTTTTTTTTTTTCAGATGGAGTCTCGCTCTGTCACCCAGGCTGGAGTGCAATGGCGCGATCTCAGCTCACCGCAACCTCCGCCTCCCGGGTTCAGGCAATTCTCCTGCCTCAGCCTCCTGAGTAGCTGGGATTACAGGCACGCGCCACCATGCCCAGCTAATTTTTGTATTTTTAGTAGAGACGGGGTTTCACCTCATTGGCCAGGCTGGTCTTGAACTCCTGACCTGGTGATCTGCCTGCCTCAGCCTCCCAAAGTGCTGGGATTATAGACATGAGCCACCGCATCCGGCTAAAAATCAATTTTCTATGAGCAGATATTCGCTTCTATGCTAACTCTGATGTTCATTTTTGAGAGTCAAATATAAAGAAGGCAAATGTGGCCGGGCACGGTGGCTCACGCCTGTAATCCCAGCACTTTGGAATGCCGAGGCAGGTGGATCACAAGGTCAAGAGATCGAGACCATCCTGGTCAACATGGTGAAACCCTGTCTCTACTAAAAATACAAAAAATTAGCTGGGCATGGTGGTGCGTGCCTGTAATCCCAGCTACTCAGGAGGCTGAGGCAGGAGAATTGCCTGAACCCAGGAGGCGGAGGTTGCGGTGAGCTGAGATTGTGCCATCGCACTCCAGCCTGGGTAACAAGAGCGAAACTCCGTCTAAAAAAAAAAAAAAAGAAGGCAAACCTGGATGACACATCTCGATCAGCTGGCCTTTTCCACACAGCTGAGCCCAGAAGCCCCCGTACCTGTGTACTTCCAGGTGACATCCTCCAAGAGCAGGTTGCTGTCTTTTGGCATGTGTTTCTTAAGCCAGGCCCAACAGTGGACCTGCTGGTCGGTTGGAGAGATCATGAAGAAACTGAAAAGTGAGACCACAAAATAATCAAAATCAGGTAGCAGAAAAAGGATCAGGAAGCTATCAAATTCTCATTTAGTTTCAAAGCAATAAGGCAAATACTAGGAAATGATTTCTTAGCTTTCACAGAAGGCCAGTAGCACCATTCTAGGATGCATCACCTAATGACAGAACAAAATTCTGGCTTCCTATTGTGCCAAGAAATTATACAGATTTACTAATGTAAGACATTGGCTGTGCACAGCGGCCCACACCTGTAATCCCAGAACTTTGGGAGGCCAAGGTGGGCGGACTGCTTGAGCTCGAGTGTTCGAGACCAGCCTGGGCAATGTTGCAAAAGACTATCTCTACAAAAAATACAAAAATTAGCTGGGTGAGGTGGCAGGTACCTGTGGTCCCAACCACTTGGAGAGCTGAGGTGGGAGGATTATTTGAGTCCAGGAGGTCAAGGGTACAGTGAGCCATGATCACATCACTGCACTCCAGCCCAGGTGACAAAGTGAGACCCTGTCTCAAAAAAAAAAAAAAAAAAAAAAAAAAAAAATGACAAAGCATCTTCTCCCAGTAGGGCAATAATCCGGTGGGCTTTTTTTTCTTTTCCTCCTGGTCATTTCTTTTTGTTTAGGGCTGCTAATAAACTGGCTTTAATTTCATGAAATGGTCCCTGGGATTTATGGTTCCTGGAGAGGTGCCTGAGAGCCTCTGCTCTAGTACCCATAAGAAATAAACGTGCTGGAAGGAGCAGAGTGGGGCATCAGCTCATCTCACCTGCGCTTGCTCAGTCGTGCTATGCTGCAGTCATTTTCATACCCTCCAACTTCGTTGAGCATGCCGGTATGAACAATGTGGCCCACAGGCACATCCAGGTCATTGGAGAAGAGGTACTGCAGAACTTCTAATGCCTGATCCCCAGTGGACTGCAGGGTTAGGGAATGAAGCAGAGAGAGTGTGTGCAGGGGCACCTGGCTGGGCAACATGGCCCAACCAGCAATGAACCTTGCTGAGAAAATTCAATCAGCCAATACCCATGTAACAACATTTGCAGACCTACTCTACTGCAAGAAGCTGCAGGGAATGTTAGCTATTGATTCTTATGATAAACAGGCCTAATACATTAAAAACCAACAAGCTAAAAATTCAGAAAAATGTTACAATACAGATGAAACACTAAAATATACCAGAATTCTTAAGAAATCAGGTTTTTAAATTTGAGATGGAGCCTCATTCTGTTGACCAGGCTGAGTGCAATGCCGCAAGCTCGGCTCATTGCAACCTCCACCTCCTGGGTTCATGAGATTCTCCTGCTTCAGCCTCCCGAGTAGCTGGGATTACACGCGCCCACCACCACGCCTGGCTAATATTTTTTTTTGAGACAGAGTTTTACTCTTGCCACCCAGGCTGGAGTGCAATGGCGCCATTTCAGTTCACTGCAACCTCCTGGGTTCAAGTGATTATCCTGCCTCAGCCTCCCAAGTAGCTGGGATTACAAGTGCCCACCACCATTCCAGGCTAATTTTTTGTATTTTTAGTAAAGATGGGGTTTCGTTGGCCGGGCGCGGTGGCTCGCTCACGCCTGTAATCCCAGCACTTTGGGAGGCCGAGGTGGGTGGATCACGAGGTCAAAAGATCGAGACCATCCTGGTCAACATGGTGAAACCCCGTCTCTACTAAAAATACAAAAAATTAGCTGGGCATGGTGGCACGTGCCTGTAATCCCAGCTACTCAAGAGGCTGAGGCAGGAGAATTGCCTGAACCCAGGAGGCGGAGGTTGCGGTGGGCCGAGATCGCGCCATTGCACTCCAGCCTGGGTAACAAGAGCGAAACTCTGTCTCAAAAAAAAAAAAAAAAAAAAAGATGGGGTTTCGTCACGTTGGCCAGGCTTGCCTTGAACTCCTGACCTCAGGTGATTTGCCTGTCTTGGCCTCCCAAAGTGCTGGGATTACAGGCATGAGCCACCACTCTTGGCCTTAATTTTTGTATTTTTAGTTAGAGATGGGGTTTTACCATGTTGGCCAGGCTGGTCTCGAACTCTTGACCTCAGGCGATCTGCCTGCCTTGGCCTCCCAAAGTGCTGGGAAAACAGGCATGAGCCACTGGGCCCAGTGAGGAATCAGTTTTGAAGATGAAAAACAAAAGGCATTCAATAAATATGCAAAGTTTCCTAATTCATTATTTTGGTTTCCAAATACTTACTGTTATCTCAAATTTTGTGAAAGAGGACATGTCAATGACACACACAGCTTCCTTACAGCACTTGACTTCAGACTCCACGATGTCAAACCAGTCTGGCTTATAGAAAGTCTTGCTCTGCTCCAATGCCAGGAGGTCTACAGAGTGGAAAAATCACAAGGTGGAGAGAAAACAAGGCGGCTTACACTGGGGAGTCTCCCTGTAGCAGTTAGTGTAGTCTAACAGGTGGTTCTCATTTATTCTTCTGTGAACACATTCTAGCTTATGCATCTGAAAATATGTTTTATTAATTTCCAGGACCAAAAAAAAAAAAAAAGGAGCAAAAATGAGGATGTGACTTCTTACCCTTGTCAGGGGGAACAAAGTACTTCGGCCTCTCAAATCCATGTTTCTCCATCCACCTGGCTCCCTGCGCATCCAGCCGGTCATAGAGAGGAGAAGTACGTAACTGCCTACCGGTCTGGAAGTCCCAGCGGGGTACCTTCAGATCATACATCAAAGCTACAACAGACAGGTGAGATATTCGAGAAGATAAAAGTAACATTCTACCAAATATTTGCTGCAATTACTAAAATATTTGCTAAAATTAACCTTAGAGTTAAACATATTACTGATAGGTCCTTCACCTCCATGGATGGACGCTCTCTACCAGACCCAAAGTGAGCACTCAGGCATTAAAGACCATCAGAGTCCTCACCATCAATGCTGTCCAACTACTAAACCAAACAGTTACTTGTAACCAAGAATGGTGGTCACAACCAACTCAGAAACTTAGTCCTGAGCATAAGTGTGCTCAAAATATTGAGATATCATTTGGCAAAGTCTGAGAACAGCTCCTCAGTATAGGAAAATGAAATTACAACTTGAATCCACATGGTTTGTTTCAATTCCTGATACAAAAAAGCTGTCTCTAAGGGCTTCCTAGAAAATAAATCAGGGATCAAGATAGAATAATAAATTAAGACTAAGTGGCCATCCTTCAAAGTTGCAGCAGGGCGACAACAAGGGGATACAGCTTTTTTTTTTTTTTTTGAGATGGAGTCTTGCTCTGTCGCCCAGACTGGAGGGCAGTGGCTGCATCTTGGCTCACTGCAACCTCTGCCTCTAAGATTCAAGCAATTCTCTGCCTCAGCCTCCCGAGTAGCTGGGATTACAGGCCCCCATCACCACGCCTGGCTAATTTTTGTATTTTGAGTAGAGATAGGGTTTCGACATCTTGGCCAGGCTGGTTTTGAACTCCTGACCTCATGATCCACCCACCTCAGCCTCCCAAAGTGCTGGGATTACAGGCATGAGCCACTGCACCTGACCTAGCAATTATTTTTTGTATTTATAAGTAGTTTCCAATCTTGCTGCTGTAGGGTGATTAACGATGAAAGTCGCTCACAGAAGTGTGAAGCTCTGAGAATAACTTGGCAAATTCTCTGACTTGGAAAGAAAATAACTATCTCAAAAACTAATAGGGGAGTGAGAATGTGTTCACTTCGACACAGGGTCTCTCAAGTCAAACTGGGAAGGAGACATTGCTAATAATATTTAGGAAGCTGCTATGTACCATTTGTAAATCCTGTTCTATTTTCTAGTTCCCAGAAAGAAACAAGGTCCAATACACTAAAGAAAATATTACGTAAGTATCACGTGGAGCATAAAGCCCCTTACTCAGGGCCAAACCAGTCAAATCAGATGCCCACATCAAAGCAGTTGTTAAGGAATTGAGGAAAACTCTGTCCCCTCTGAATGACAACATGGGCCACCAGGAATATACCTGCAACTAGAAGCAATTGCGATAAAGCTTCACTTACGCATGACTTCCATGACCCGGTGGCGCAGAAAGGTGCGGCTGCTCTGGAGGGCTCCAAAACGTTTCAGGTCCAATTCCCAAACGTTTTCTGAAGGATAACCATGTACCATCCATTCAGCGAGGTACCTATACAGACAGAGGGCATTTGTTGGGGCTCAGGTGTGATATTTGAGAAGATAAAAGTAATATTCTAGAAACTGAGAACCAACAGAATCAAAAGTTCCTATATTGCCACAGACTAGCTGAATAGTTTTGGGCAATTTCCTTAACGTTTTTGGAAGAAACAAACATGGGCCTGTGTACTGCTCTCAAAATGAGGATTTTACGCCTGATGACAAGGTTCCCTAGAAAGTATTTAAGATATAAGCCAGCCAGGCACATTGTCTGATACCTATAATCCCAGAACTTTGGGAGGCTGAGGCAGGGGACTGCTTGAAGCCAGGAGTTTGAGACCAGCCTGGGCAACATAGTGAGACCCTGTTTCTACTGGGGGGGAAAAAAAAAAAGTTTCAAAATGAGCCGCGCCGCACGCAGTGGCTCAAGCCTGTAATCCCAGCACTTCAGGAGGCCGAGGCGGGTGGATCACGAGGTCAAGAGATCGAGACCATCCTGGTCAACATGGTGAAACCCCGTCTCTACTAAAAATACAAAACATTAGCTGGGCATGGTGGCGCGTGCCTGTAATCCCAGCTACTCAGGAGGTTGAGGCAGGAGAATTGCCTGAACCCAGGAGGCGGAGGTTGCGGTGAGCCGAGATCGCGCCATTGTACTCCAGCCTGGGTAACAAGAGTGAAACTGCGTCTCAAAAAAAAATGAGCCGCATGTGGTGGCACATGACTTGCAGTTCTAGCTCTTCAGGAGTCTGATGCAGGCTGACCCCTTGAGCACAGGAGTTTGAGACTGCAGTGAGCTATAATGGTGCCACTGTACTCCAGCCTGGGTGACAGTAAGACCTTGTATCAAAAAAAAAAAGGAGGAGAAGACCTTGTATCCAAAAAAGTTATAAACCACACCTATAAAGAAATAAGACTAAAACACATACAAATATACAGTAATTTAAAAATCCAATGGTTTTTTCCTCTGTATAATAGTAACCTCGGCCAGGTACAGTGGCTCAGATCTGTAATCCCAGCACTTTGGGAGGCTGAGGCAGGCAGATCATGAGGTCAGGAGTTCAAAGACCAGCCTGTCCAATATGGTGAAACTCCATCTCTATTAAAAATACAAAAATTAGCAGGGCGTGGTGACATGTGCCTATAGTCTCAGCTACTCAGGAGGCTGCGGCAGGAGAATCACTTGAACCCAGGGGGCGGAGGTTGCAGTGAGCAGAAATTGCGCTACTGCACTCTAGCCTGGGTGACAGAGAGAAACTCTGTCTCAAAAACAAAAAAAAAAAAAGTCACCTCAAGGAGATTATACAGTTATGAGACCAGATCTCCTTTGCTCCATGTTTTTGGTAATTCCTCTTCTGCAACTGTTTTCAGAGCCATTCTACAAATCACTCAAGAGAACTGGTCTCATAAATTTAAAATACACTTTCCATCATGGCTACCATCTTAACCATGTTAACTATTTGTAAGTGTTGAGTTCAGTGGAAGTGGGTACATTCACACTGCTGTGTAACCCTCACCACCATCCACCCCAGAACTCTTGCATTTTTGGAACTCTGTGCTCATTAAAGAACAGCTCCCCTACCCTGCCTCTGGCAACCACCATTTTACTTTCTGTCTCTATGCTCCAACAACTCTAGGAATTTCATATAAGTGGAACCATATAGTATTTGTCCTTTTGTGACTGGCTTAATGTTCATTAATGTCTAATTTTTAAACGAAAATTTGTGGCTGGGTGCAGTGGCTCAAGCCTGTAATCCTAGTACTTCATGAGGCCTAGGCGGGTGGATCACTTGAGGTCAAGAGTTCGAGACCAGTCTTGCCAACATGGTGAAACCCCGTGTCTACTAAAAATACAACAATTAGCTGGGTATGGTGGCTCATGCCTGAAATCCCAGCTACTTGGGAGGCTGAGGCAGGAGAATCACCTGAACCCACGAGGTGGAGGTTGCAGTGAGCCAAGATCATGCCACTGCACTCCAGCCTAGGCGAAAGAGTGAGACTCCATCAAAAACAAAACAAAACAAAAACAAAACTTGAATTACCTAGTTCAGTCACCTACCTCAATCAACATACTGGCCAAACTCAAATATACATTCAAATGACCAATTTGTTACAACTGAAAAAGTACGAAAGAATACCAACTCCAAAAGACAAGCTGTGAAAACATTTTGCTTGATAGCATTTCTGGAACATGGGGAGCCTCCAATACTTATAAGGATACAACTCTCAAATTACACGCATCTTCTCATTAGTCTTAACATACTAGATTAATTAAACATAACACATACCATATTAACAACAAGTAATTCTAGAAGGGAAGAAACTCACAACCTGACTTACGTTCACTGCTGACTTTGAGTGAAAAAGACTTACTTTCCAGCTCCTCCACCAAATGAAAGGCCAGCAGAGTTCATTCCTGCCAGGACAAAGTAGCCCTGCACTGCAGGAGACTCGCCCATGATGCACCTCATGTCTGGTGTGAAGGTCTCTGGGCAATTCACCAACTTCATGATCTCCAGACTCTCTAATTCTGGCATCCTCCTCAGAAGGGAACTCAACAGAGGCTCTGAGCAATAACAACAAACCCAAATAAGAGTTCTCACCTTTAAGGAAGGAATTAAACCACTTTCAACCCCTCTACATTTTTATTCCCTCTCCTTTCAGAAAATCTCTTGGAAGAGATTTTTTTTTTTTTTTTTAAGAAGACCCAACTGGGCCATTTATCAGAAAGCAGAGGGCCAGGCATGGTGGCTCACACCTGTAACCCCAGCACTTTGGGAGGTCGAGGCAGGCGGATCACGAGGTCAACAGATTGAGACCATCCTGGCCAACATGGTGAAACCCTGTCTCTACCAAAAATACAAAAGTTAGCTAGTCGTGATGGTGCGCGCCTGTAGTCCCAGCTACTCGGGAGGCTGAGGCAGGAGAATCGCCTAAGGAGCCCAGGAGGCGGAGGCTACAGTGAGATCATGCTACTGTACTCCAACCTGGCGACAGAGCGAGACTCCATCTAAAAAAAAAAAAAAAAAAAAAGGGAAAGCAGAAATCTTGGTAGAATTATAGGATTCAGCTACAAAATATACTTGGTATAAAGACTGAGGAAAAAAGACACTGGTTAGAAAGGAAAGCAGCAGAGAATAGCAAGTAAAATGGCACCTACAGACAATAATCTTGAAGGGATCAGTGTGAGTAGAAAAGCTCTTAAATGGCAGCCACAGAGATTTTAATAAAAGGCAATGTTCTGAGCTGGGTACAGTGGCTCGTGCCTGCAATCCCAGCACTTTGGGAGGCCAAGGTGGGCGGATCATTTGAGGTCAGGAGTTCAAGACCAGTCTAGTCAAAATGGCAAAACCCAGTCTCTACTTAAAATACAAAAATTAGCCAGTTGTGGTGGTAAATGCCTATAATCTCAGCTATTCGGGAGACTGAGGCCGGAGAATCGCTTGCATCTGAGAGGCAGAGGTTGCAATGAGCCGAGATCGTGACAGTGCACTCCAGCCTGGGCAACAAAGTGAAACTCCATCTCAAATTTTAAAAAAGGAATGTTCTGGATGATGGGTACATGGGGGCTCATCACACTACTTTCAACACGTTTATTTATTTCTTTATTTTTTAATAGAGACACAGTCTCCAGTCTCGCCATGTTGCTCAGGCTGGTCTTGACTTTTTGGACTCCAATGATCCTCCCAACTTGGCCTCCCAAAGTGCTGGATTACAGGTGTGAGCCACTGTGCCCAGCTTCTATCCACTTTTAAAAGTTTGAAATTTCTCATAAGAATTTTTCAAATCAGAAAGCCCATCAAGAGTCAAAGGAAATTTCTTCATTAGAGACTCTTTCATATCTTTTAAATTTCGAACTAGGTAGCTATATTATTTATTCAATAAATAAAATTTTAAAATTTAATAAAAGACTACACTAACAAAACAGTATTGAAAACCAAAACAAACTGGCTGGGCGCAGTAGCTGACGTCTGTAATTCCAGCACTTTTGGAGGCCAAGGCAGGTGGATCACTTGAGGCCAGGAGTTCAAGACCAGCCTGGCCAACATGGTGAAACCCCATCTCTACTAAAAATATAAAAATTAGCTGGACATGGTGGTACACACCTGTAATCCCAGCTACTCGGAAAGCCGAGCCACAAAAATCGCCTGAACCCAGGAGGCGGAGGTTGCAGTGAGCCTAGATTGCACCACTGCACTCCCATCTGGGTGACAGAGCAAGACTCTTGTCTCAAAAAAAACCCCAAAAAAACAAAAACAAAAAATAAACCAGGCACAGTGGCTCACATCTGTAATCCCAGCACTTTGGGAGGTTGAGGCGGGTAGATCACCTGAGGTCAGGAGTTCAAGACCAGCCTGATCAACATGGCAAGACACTGTCTCTACTAAAAATATAAAAATTAGCCAGGTATGGTGGCACCCGCCTGTAGTCCCAGCTACTTGAGAGGCTGAGGCAGGAAAACTGTTTGAACTCAGGAGGTAGAGGTTGCAGTGAGCTGAGATGATGCTACTGCACTCCAGCCTGGGCAAAAAAAAAAAAGGAAAGAAAAGGAAAAATATAACATATTAGACCAATATGGCAATACGGCACTGTTGTTATGATCCAGTTCACATACCAAAGTGATCCCAATCTTCCTGTAGATTCTGAATCTCCAGCTGGTTCTTGCCCTCAGTGAAAATTGGTTTCGGGTTCTTCTCAAAGCCCCCAGACAAGATGCCACCCTGCCAGTTCCGAATATAAATTCTTCCATCAGCATCCACAATAGCTGAGGAAGAGAAATGACACGGGAGTAGGGAGTGGAAGATAAAACAAGGGTTTAGAAGCAAGCCAGCTTTCTAAATGGACAGAAAAACAAAACAACACCCATTAATGGCTTTACTAATGAAATAACATTCAATGAACACAGGAATTCATTAGCTTTAAAATACCTTTTGAGGTCATGGGGAAAATCCTCCCATTTAGACTTTCAATGCAGACTTTCTCTGATTATTCCTTACCTAGAAGCTCTGACTAGTCCTCAAAAGCAAACCATGTAACTGCCACTGTGCCAAGCAAAAATTTAACATAAAAGGGGATTGCAGAGCCCATTCTTGGCATGAAGACCATCAAAACGATATGAGAACACTTGCCTACAGTGCTTGGAACTACTAACCCACCTAAGTCTATCGTTCATCTACGACATTTCTATAATCTACAGCATTCAAGTTAAAAAGTCAACAAACAGTCCAAATATTCTCAATGACCTCTGTTTAGGACTAAAATTAGCTTGCAAAAAACAAAAGCAAAAAAAATTAATGGAAATTTTGGCCATCCTTTCATAAAGAGTTAATAAAATTAGAATTGGGTCCACCTCCCTGTAACATGCTCTAGAAATGAAAGACTCTTTGAGACACAGTCTGTCCTTAGCAGAAAGTTTTCCTTTTCAGAGGACAGGATACTGGCAAAGAAACAAGATTTTTAAAAAAAGTACAAGTCCTCACTTGGTGTGCTGCTCTGCAGAGGGGTCTCCAAGGGGCGAGTCAGGAGGTAGAAGTGTTCGCAGGCATGTAGCGGGATACTAACCGGCTCCTCGTTGGACAGACCCAGCTCGTATGCCCACTACAAATGGACAGGTTGATTTGTGGGTGGGAAGAGGAACAGAAATACAAATGAGCAAGTTCAGCCTCTTGAAAAGAGATTAATTCCAAGTGGCTTATGTGGGCTCTTGCTACAGTGTCAGGTACGGGAAGTCAGCCTGCTTTAGTTCAATTATTTGGATGGGGAGCAATACTACATTTTTTAAGTCATAAAAATAACTTTGAGAGCAAAGGAAGAGGTATTTACCAGCTAGTCAAGGAGCTCAAGGGAACCAAAGGAGGTCCTTTCGATAAAATGCCTGGGCTCAACTACAAACCCCAAATAGCAATCACTAAATGAACTTCTCATGGCAGAAGTATTTCCCAGTTCACTTCAGGATCATAGCATGGAAGGCAATCTGCCTTAAAAGAAATAGCCTAGTGTCTTGAAAATTAGTGTCCACATTCCTGACACAATAAAATAGCCTAATATTTTATTTGCTAGGTTGTAGAATGAATGTAACATCAAGACCCAGTGCCAAGGATTCATGTCAACACCTGACCATTTGCTGGCTTTCCTGACCATGATAGCACCAATCAGCCCAGTGTGGTGGAAAGACAAAGTCATACATGCTTGTATTTGTGGACTAAGCATAGGCTTCTGGTTTAGAATACCGTACAAGAAACAATGTAGTTACTGATATCTATATAATCAATCACACTATTCTTCTCTACCCCAAAAAAAAATCCTGGAGAAAAAGATAATATAAGAAAATCAGTGCCCAGTGTTGGTGCTGACCTACCTGGCCAGCACAGTTGACAAAATACTGGCATTCAATCTGTCCTTTATCTGTCTCCACTCCAGTAACTTGACCTTTTTTGACCATTACATGAAGAACAGATGTCCGGTCATAGATCTGAACGCCTGTTCCAAGGTAAAGAAAGAGTTGGTGCTTCATCTGATGTTTCAGAATAAAGGCATCTGCAACAGGTTCTCCATCCAAAAGAAACACTGGCAAAGTCAAGTCAATGCTTTTTTATTTCACTTATTTTTTGAGATGGAGTCTCACTCTGTTGCCGAAGGTGGGGTGCAGTGGTGCAATCTTGGCTCACTCTCCGCCTCCTGGGTTCAAGCAATTCTCTGCCTCAGCCTCTCAAGTAGCACACCACTACACCTGGCTAATTTTTGTATTTTTAACTACATGGTGTTTTCACCATATTGGTCAGGCTGGTCTTGAACTCCTGGCCTTAGGTGATCTGCCCACCTTGGCTTCCCAAAGTGCTGGGATTACAGGCGTGAGCCACCATGTCTGGCTCAATGCTTTAATTTAAAAAAACAAAAAACCCTAGAATCACATCCTGAGACTATGTAAATGGGCCTTGCCCAAGACTGAAAATAGCAAGTCAGTTTAAAAACAGACTTTGGAACACAGTAATTAAATTCCGGGAATCATAAACTATGGAGCAGAGAAGACAGAATGCAAATAGCACACCTTAAGTACTAATCTGCTCATGCCATGAATATGATACCCTGGACACTAGTAACACAGGCTCAATGCAGCACGGGCTCATGATTTCAGTTATGTATTAAGCTTCCAAGGTGTATTTTCACCTTGGAGCTTCTCAGGTCCTGAGGAGGGAAAACATCATCTAAGTCCAAATGGCATTAACTGGCCAGGCGCGGTGGCTCATGCCTGTAATCCCAGCACTTTGCGAGGCTGGGGCAGGCAGACCACCTGAGGTGAGGAGTTCTAGACCAGCCTGGCCAACAAGGCAAAACCTCGTCTCTACTAAAAATACAAAAATTAGCCAGTTGTAGTGGTGCACACCTATAGTCACAGCTACTTGGGAGGCTGAAGCAGGAGGATGGCATAAATCCAAGAGGCGGAGGTTGCAGTGAGGTAAGATTGCACCAGTGCACTTCAGCCTGGGCAAAAAGAGTGAAGCTCTGTCTCCCAAAAAAAAAAAAAAAAAAAGGGCATTAATTAGCACTAAAACAAAAGGGCATTAATCAAAACTAAAGTTCTTTGGAACTTTAAAAATGTGGCCCTGAGGTAAAACACTTATTAACAGATAAATAAAATCATAAGACACACTGTTCAAAAATGGAAGCTGAGTACCCCAAAGGGGATAATCTTTCCAAACCTGAGTTGGACACTTCCTTAGGTAACCTCTTCCCTACTAACCCATCTTAAAAAAATGCAAAAACCTGCTCACCATTTTGGGAGGCGGCACTTGCCAGGGCAAGAGCCACGTCAGCAGAGGACACCACTGCATCCTCAGGAACATGCATGGCCCCCACCAAGTCGTGCACGTTGAGGAGGTGGTGAAGCTCGGCCACTTTCTTGGGGGAGATGATCTCAGAAGGGATGCCTATAACACTGCCACAGAACACAAGGGACAATGACATTCACAGGCTCTTTGGCAGAGGCCAGTGTGGTAAAGTCAGGACATGCTTCTAGACTCTTACGTACTTCAGCCTTGAGTTGATGCGCTTCAGAGAGATCAGCCGGTCCTGAGTTTGGGCCAGAAAGACTGAGCCTGTTCTTGTGTAACCTGCAAGAAAAATGAGCCCAAATGAGACACATCAGACCAAATGTAGGATGGGAGAGTGGAAAATCCACTAGATTATGGGTTAGAAGACCTGCAATGAGTCCTGGGACTGTCACTCAATATCCTCGGGCAGGTAAATCAGCTTCTCTGAGCTTCTAGGAAAAATTTTAAGAACTTCAGATGCACTAAGGCTCCATGCCTTAACCAAACATTCTCAGCTCAGTCTTGTGAGGTTGTAAGGATCAAAGGAAATTCTAGGCTGTGGCACATGCCAGTAATCCCAGCACTTTGGGAGGCCAATGCGGGTGGATCACCTGAGGTCAGGAGTTCGAGACTAGGCAGCCTGGCCAGCATGGTGAAATCCATTCTCTACTAAAAATATAAAAATTAGCTGGTGTGGTGGTCCACGCCTGTAATCCCAGCTACTGGGGAGGCTGAGGCAGAAGAATTGCTTGAACCCAGGAGGTGGAGCTTGCAGTGAGTCAAGATTTCACCACTGTACTCCAGCCTGGGAGATAGAGCAAGACTGTCTAAGGAAAAAAAAAAAAAAAGACTCTTTTGGGCAGGGATGCGACCTTGAACCCATTCCTATTCTTTCCTCCTTTTAGGCAATTTCACGCTTTCTCCTCCGAGTCTTCAGGGAATGTAATCCTTGGCAAAGGCCACTCACAAGAACATCAGCTACTAAGGGTAAGATCTTCCCTTCTCCTTTCCCACTATAGCCAAACAGTGGGCATGTGACTTAAACTCATCAGTAAGACCTTCCTGGAATACTCAGTCTTGAGGACATAGGTGAATGGCTGGAGGTCACCACCTCAAGGGCAGCATTATCCAGGCCAGGCTGCTCCTATTCCTGCTGAGGGACTGCCTGCTGTGCAGTCCCCACATTCTGGCTTCTAGCCTGCCTCCAGTTGGCAGCCTCCTGCCAACTCCATAGGCCCCAAGGTCCTCCCAACAAGCTCCAAGTTGGCCAGAGTCAATTCCTGTTGTTTGTGATCAACCTGCCTGATATCGAATCATAATTACATATGGGCCAAATGACAATCTTCCTAAAATGCAAGGACTCTTTATTCTTATGAAGAAAAAGTTGAAGCAATTTGGTATCTTATTTTCAAAAGAAATAAAGTCAGGATATTTTACATGTTTTCTTAATTTCTCTTGCAATCATCAGGTAAATATGCCCTTCACTGACATGATAAGAATATCCCAGTTTGGAGGAACAGAAATTTCTGAGCCTTCCATTTTAGAAATAGCTGGCCTAGTACAGTGATCTCGGCTAGTGATCTATGGGCTAACCACACTCTGAATTTCACCTTAAGACAGACAGAGAGAACCAGGTATGGTGACTCATGCCTGTATTCCCAGCACTGTGGGAGGCCGAGGCAGGTGGGTCACCTGAGGTCAGGAATTTGAGACCAGCCTAACAATACGGTAAAACTCTGTCACTACTAAAAATACAAAAATTAGCTGGGTATGGGTGCCTGTAATGCTAGCTACTCAGGAGGCTGAGTCAGGAGGACTGCCTAAATCCAGGAGGCGGAGGTTGTAGTAAGCCAAGATTGTGCCACTGCACGCCAGGTGACAGAGCAAGACTCAATCTCAAAAAAAAAAAAAAAAAAGAAAAAGAAAGAGACAAAGTGTTCAGCAGTTACTTTCTACTCATTATGAAGATTACATACGGGAGAGTATGAGTGTACATACACCTATGCCATACATCATGTTAGGCTGGGTGCAGTGGCTCATGTGTGTAATCCCAGCACTTCGGGAAGCTAAGGTGGGCAGATCACCTGAGGTCATGAGTTTGAGATCAGCCTGGCCAACACGGTGAAACCTCGTCTCTACCAAAAATATGAAAATTAGCTGGACGTAGTGGGCCATGCCTGTAACACCAGCCACTCCTGCTAAGGCAGGAGAATCACCTGAACCTAGGGGGCGAAGGGTGCAGTGAGCTGACATCGCACCCCTACACTCCAGCCTGGGTGACAGAGCAATACTCTGTCACAACAACATCAACAACAAAAACCGTGTTATACTAGGTTAAATCATGTTTCCCCAAAGAGAACTATATATCATAACAAACTCAATATGTCACCCATTAACAAAGTTAAAATTCCACTATTTTCCACAAAGGACTTTTTTTTTTTTTTTTTTTTTTTGAGATGGAGTTTTGCTCTTGTTGCCCAGGCTGGAGTGCAATGGCACAATCTCGGCTCATCGAAACCGCTACCTCCCAGGTTCAAGTGAGCCTCCTCCTTCAGCCTCCCGAGTATCTGGGATTACAGGCATGCACAACCATGTATTTTTAGTAGAGATAGGGTTTCTCCATGTTGGTCAGGACGGCTTCAAACTCCCAACCTCAGGAGATCTGTCTGCCTTGGCCTCCCAAAGCACTGGGATTACAACTGTGAGCCACCACGCCTGGCCAATGACTTTTAACCTTTGACAAAGCAAATTAAATGCCAGAATTGCTCTAGCCCAAACCTTAGAAGTTCACAGAGGTCACTGGCCAGGCGTGGTGGCTCATGCTTGTAATCCTAATATTTTGGGAGAGTGAGGTAAGCAGGTCACTTGAGTCTAAGAGTTCAAGGACCAGCCTGGCCAACATGGCAAAATTCTGTCTCTATAAAAACTACAAAAATGAGCCAGGTGTGGTGGCATGCACCTGTAGTCGCAGCACTCAGGGAGCTGAGGTGGGAGGATTGCCTAAGCAGGGAGGTTGAGGTTAAAGAGAGCCAGATTATGCCACTGAACTCCAGTCTGGGTGACAGAGTGAAACCCTGTCTGATTAAAACAAAAAAAGGTTAAGAGTCACAAACCAGAGTTCTTACAAATCAGTAAAAATAAAAATTAGACATACAGTATTAAACGACAATTCAAAGAAATACAAATGGCCAGTATACCTATGAAATGATGTTTAGTTGAAAGAGATGTAAATTAGAATCTGACAACCTTTTCCATCTCAAAGATTAGAAAAAATTAAAATAATATCCAATGCTGCTAGGCATGGTGGTTCATGCCTGTAATCCCAGGACTTTGGGAGGCTGAAGCAGGCAGATCACCTGAGATCAAGAGTTTGAGACCAGCCTGAGTAACATGGTGAAATCCAGTTTCTACTAAAAATATGAAAATTAGCTGGGTGTGGTGGCAGGCGCCTATAGCCCAAGCTACTTGGGAGGCTGAGGCAGGAGAATCTCCTGAATCCAGGAGGTGGATGTTGCAGTGAGCTGAGATCATGCCACTGTACTCCAGCCTGGGTGACAAGAGTGAGACTTCATCTCAAAAAAAATAAAACCAACACGGAGAGGTATATAAATAAATAAGCACTCTCAGCTGGGTGCAGTGGCTTACGCCTGTAATCCCAGAACTTTGGGAGGCCAAAGTGGGTGGATCACCTGAGGTTGGAAGTTCGAGACCAGCCTGGCTAACAAGGAGAAACCCTGTCTCTACTAAAATACAAAATCAGCCAGTTGTGGTGGCGCATGCCTGTAATCTCAGCTACTCAGGAGACTGAGGCAGGGGTTGTGGTGAGCAGAGATCACTGCACTCCACCCTGGGCATTAAGACCGAAACTCTGTGTCAAAATGAATAAATAAATAAGCAAACACTCTCATACTGTTGGTCAGAGGATGCAACTCTTTTTTTCTTTTTGAAGAGGAAAAAAAAGCACATTTATTGGAGGAGAATACTGATATAGCCACATGGTGATTTTTAAAAGTGTAAGACTAAATACACTTGTTTAAAATTGGAGGATGATTATATTTCATCCAATACGAATTTACAGATTATCATCTTTTTTTTTTTTGAGACAGAGTCTCACTCTGTAGCTCAGGCTGGAGTGCAGTGGCATGATCTTAGCTCACCGCAACCTCCACCTCCCAGGTTCAAGTGATTCTTTGGCCCCAGCCTCCCAAGTAGCTGGGATTATAGGCACCTGCCACCACTTCCAGCTAATTCTTATATTTTTAGTTGAGACGGGGTTTCACCATGTTGGCCAGGATGGTCTTGATCTCTTGACTTTGTGATCCACCTGCCTCACCTCCCAAAGTGCTGGGATTACAGGTGTGAGCCACTGTGCCTGGCCTTTTTTTTTTTTTTTTTTG